ACAAGGACGAGAACTCCGGCCAGTGATATCTCTCGGTAAACGAAATCTTTTTTATCACATCCCTTGGGCCGAGTATCACATTTTTATCACATCCCCTGGGCAAGTATGAGATTTTTTTCACAACTTTGGGGCAAATATCACATTTTATCACGTTCTAGGCAAGTATCACATTTTTATCACATCTTTGGGGCAAATATCACATTTTTATCACATCTTTGGGGCAAATATCAGATTTTTATCACATGTTCTGGGGCAAGTATTACATTTTTATCACATCCTCTGGGCGCAAGTATCACATTTTTATCACATTCTGGGGACACATATCACATTTTACTCTCTCAGGTCACATCCTGATAAACTAAGAATAAAATTGTAAACAGGAAATTTCTATTTTAAAACCCCCACGTGTAAACATGTAAACAAACAATCCGGCGCACGTCACAGTGGCTGATAGTGACTACGTTCACGTGACCGCTCTCAACCAATCAAAAATGGTGTAACGTTTCCGAAGGTCATTGGTGGGCTTGGGAGGGGGGGAAGTGGAGGGGTGTAAAATTCACCACCAAGGGTGAGTACTGCATATTACAACGGACAGGCAGCCATTATCTTAGGATGGTTATCTTATATAATGAGTCATTTAAAACCAAATAGACTACTTCAGTATTCGTACGTTTTCTGAATAGTAATTAATTACTTTTTAAAAAAATTTCTTAAATTCTAGACTTAGATCTAGCTTGTTTTAGATATCCATAGTAACAACCCTTGTCTTCATCGCATTCTTGCCTAAACCAAGTACGCCCATTCGCATTTTTATAAATTCATGATTATTATCATCTTAAATATTATCTCTATATTTTCTGTTATTTTTAAAAGCTTTCACGTGTCAAAAATTACCAACAAACACCCGGCAGGGGCGGAACTACAGTGCCGCCAGACCCCGCAATGCGGGGGGGGGGGGGGGGCCCAGACCGAATGGGGGCCCAAAAATCCCGGCTAAATTATTTTTAAAAAAATTTAAAATTAAAAATTAAAAAAAAAAAAAAAAAAAAAAAAAAAAATAGGTGGAGGTCGAGTTATCTTTCTTCTACAGTTACAAAAAAACACGATAGTCGGCAAACGTCTTTGAAAAAAATGTACAGAATATAGCTCGAGAGACCGCCAGACATATAGACAACTTCAAAGACGCAGGGGCGGAACTACAGTGCTGCCAGACACCGCAATGCGGGGAGGGGGGCAGACTGATTGGGGGCCCAAAAATCCAGACATATAGACAACTTCAAAGACGTAGCCTACCTTTTTACTTTTAGTGGCGTCGATTAGGAGAACAAAAAAGGATTGTTATATTGTTTACATTATTAAATATATATATATATATATATATATATATATATATATATATATATATATATATATATATATATATATATATGATTGTGTGTTTAAACTACTGGCCTGGACTCTACAAAAAATATAATTATTTATTTCGATGTCATACATTTATAATTGCGTTCATTTTTACTTTAACAACTGTATCAATAAACTTGTGAAAGTTTAAGTTATCTCCCTTTAGCGAAGCATCTGAAGTTTTTGCCGGCACGCTTTGAAATCGGGCTGGGGAAATGTTGCGGCGACTATTCTGGTCTTCTAGACGACCGGAAAAAGTCGGCACTATTGATGTAGATGTTTATCGGCACTTTCTAGTCCCCTTCCCTTGAACCTTCCCAACTCTCACCCCTACCCCTCACCTCTACCCCTCACCACACCCTTACTCTTAGAATAAGATGTAATGCATAGATTAACGAACCGTCTATGAACTACTGAACTGTAAACTGACCACTTCTGCACATTTTGTTAAAGACACTAGTCAGTAGTTGTTCATTTACCTGATGAAGTATTTTGTTGACGAGTCTAATTCACACAACAAGGAAGGTAAGGCTCGTCTTTATATTATTAATTGTTTTATAATTAGTACACGTATTAATTGAACATTAGTTATTAACACTAAATACATTAAAGTTAATCAAATTTAGGATACAATGATCTAGCTTTTAAGCCTAAAAACAACCAAAAGATCTATATCACCTTTGAATGTATTAATGTTTAATTTCATGTTTAGCCCGTAACGGGGAGGGGTTATATTCGGTTATAATATGGGTGGGTCTTTGGCAGTGTTTCTTCCAGACTTTTTTCTTCGGGGGGGGGGGGGGGGGCGGGCACTGTTAAAAGTATATATTTTCTATATAAATTATATAAATTTAATTTCTTTCGGGGGGGGGGGGGGGTGCGGACCGCACCGGGTGACACCATTTAGGGGGGTGACACCAAGGCAAAAAATAGCAAAATATATAGAGAAAAACTCGAGGGGGGTGCAAATCGAAAGTTTGAAAGTTTGTCCCTGGGAAGGGTCTCTATGCCTCTGGGGGGGGGGGGGGCGACACCATTAAGTGCCGCACCGGGTGACACCCGACCTCGCTACGCCACAACACCCGATATATATATATATATATATATATATATATATATATATATATATATATATATATATATATATATATATATATATATATATATATATATATATATATATATATATATATATATATATATATATATATATATATACATATATATACATATAGATATATATATATATAGGGGCCTAAAAAAAATTTTTGCGGGGGGGCCATTTTTTTCTAGTTCCGCCACTGACACCCGGATGTGTAATTTCATTCTTTTTTGTGTAAGAAGCATTAACATATTTGACAAATTAAAAAAAAAAAACACAACGTTTAAACGCAGGAAAGATGGCAACTGGAAGCTGAATGTTACAAGACGTAATCAGAAAATAAGACAACGCTTCCGATGACGTAAACACCCGCCAATCTAGGCGGATAGCGGTGTTTTGGTTGGCCTCTGAAGCAGACGAGCGGTGACAGCTCGCGATAACTCACCCACGTCTGCAACTCACCCAGCCCATAACATGACACAACCGTCATCTTTAGGAGCTGCTTCATACTTCATCTCTTCCATCAAAAAATTATGCTGGAGTTAAATATTTTATTTTTGGACGAAACTCGCGCGAGGCGAACTATTTATTTGGGACCGACTGAAAATACACCTTGCTATCTTCGTGTTGTGTGGTGTGTTATCTAATTTTCTGTAAACACTCGTAGAAATAAATGTTGTATTTAGGTTGTGACTCGCGCAAGGCGAAATATTTGCGTGAAATGTACTGAAATGATTAACTACTATCTAGATGTTGTGTTGTGAATTATCTACCCTAGAATTCGTATAATAAACTTTGGGTGATTGTTAAAAAAACATGAACAACACTAACGTTTACGTCTTATAGCAGTGGCGTCTCTAGGTCGGGTGTCACCCGGTGCGGCACTTCATGGTGTCGCCCTCCATGAAACAAAGTGTATGTATATATATATATATATATATATATATATATATATATATATATATATATATATATATATATATATATATATATATATATATATATATATATATATATATATATATATATATATATATATATACATATATTTATATATGTGTGTGGGTGTGTGTGTTTGTGTATGTGTATAAGCTTTAATCACTGCAGACTTAATAGTAACGATGTTTATCTATAATCTGTTAATAATACAGTTTGATGTTGCATTGTTTTCTCTATAGTTAGCACTTTTACGTCATGGTGTCACCCCCACCCTATGGTAATAATTGTCGATTTGTAAAATATTATTCACTTTAATTACTCATTAATGGAACTGGCAAAAAGCATTTTTTTTCTGTACATTTTGCAAATTTTTTGCCTTGTTGTCACCCCCTAAATGGTGTCGTCCGGTGCGGTCCGCACCCCCCGCTCCGCCCTCGCTACGCCTCTGTCTAATAGTGAAGTAATATAATGTAGATCGTGTGTGATTGGGGGGGGGGGTGTTGAAGATTGATTTTACCTGGGTAATAGCCCAATTTGACATTGAACATATTTTTATGTGATACATTTTCATATGTAAGTGGCAGTAAACTGTGAGCCTGATAATGTCGCCGAGTGCCGAGATGTGTCGAGTGCCGAGGTGTGTCGAGTGCCGAGGTGTGCCGAGTGCCTAGTTGTGCCGAATGCCGAGGTGTGTCGAGTGCCGAGGTGTGTCGAGTGCCGAGGTGTGTCGAGTGCCGAGGTGTGTCGAGTGCCTAGTTGTGCCGAATGCCGAGGTGTGTCGAGTGCCGAGGTGAGTGCCGAGGTGTGTCGAGTGCCGAGGTGTGTCGAGTGCCTAGGTGTGTCGAGTGCCTAGGTGTGTCGAGTGCCGAGGTGAGTGCCGAGGTGTGTCGAGTGCCGAGGTGAGTGCCGAGGTGTGTCGAGTGCCGAGGTGAGTGCCGAGGTGTGTCGAGTGCCGAGGTGTGCCTCTAGTAAACACCACCCTTGTTTTACCTTTACCAGTGTTTTCAAGAAACCTGTCCTGCTCAGCGCATATCAGTTTGACCGTTGACTACAAATATGGCTCTACGGTCTAACAGACGAATATTGGAGGATTGAGCATTGGAAATCCAAGCACAAAGCCTGGGCCCTAACTAAAGAAGAGCCAGATGTTGCCCATGTATCAGGCCTCATCTCTCCACACAGCTGATGGACCCAAGGGACAGGACGTTACTTGTACAGTTTGGAATCAGCAGTGTCACAATAGCGGGCGAACAGACCAAATTGACTAGCTACACAACATATTGACAACTAACTAGACACCAAATTAACAACTAACTACACACAAGTAAATAACTAACTACACACTAAATTAACAACTAACTACACACCAAATAAACAACTAACTACACACCAAATTGACAGCTAACTAGACGCCAAATTGACAGCTAACTACACACCAAATTAACAACTAACTACACACCAAGTTAACAACTAACCATACACCAAATTGACAACCAACTACACGTCAAGCTTTACGAATACAAAGAGTAATTCTTGAACAACCGAGACAATAAAGTTTAAAACAAAAAGAAATTAGATTTATTCCGTAATTGGGAACTTAAATTCATAGACTATACAATCTTGCTGAAGAATTGAGGATTACATTCTTGGTCGTAGCATCCTTTTAAACCTACATCCTCACAGGGCCTTTGCCAGTTCCTGGGTCTTCATACAATATCTTGAAAGTCCAATGAAAATAAATCACCATACATAATTCATCAACTAAACTTGCAGCAAAAAATCTGTCCATTTAACAAACAAAACATTCGGTGTGGAACTTAACATGTCCTCTACACCAAACTAGCCCCGCCATTTTCTCCTTTCTCGTCGTCTCTCGTTCTTACTTCCACCGTGGTGCTTCTTTCCTCGGCGAGCGATGAAAGAGGGTGGGTCAGCGCTTCTCTTGTCCACAACATGACCATCCGGTTTCGTTTCGATTCCGTCTGCTGTAAGTACATCGTCAATCCGCGCAGGTCCCGTCACGTTTTGGCCAATCACATCAGAGATGAAAGCACCTTAAGATGACACAGTTTGTTGGTGAGCTGAGGGTAACAAAGTTTTTTGGTGTGTTGTGTGTGACACAGTTTGTTGGTGTGTGGGGATGACACCGTTTGTTGGTGTGTTGGGATGAAACAGTTTGAGGGTGTGTTGTGGGTGACACACAGTTTGTTGGTTGAGGGTGACACAGTTTGTTGTTTGAGGGTGACACAGTTTGTTGTTTGAGGGTGACACAGTTTGTTGTTTGAGGGTGACACAGATTGTTGGTTGAGGGTGACACAGTTTGTTGTTTGAGGGTGACACAGTTTGTTGGTTGTGGGTGACACAGTTTGTTGGTTGAGGGTGACACAGTTTGTTGTTTGAGGGTGACACAGTTTGTTGGTTGTGGGTGACACAGTTTGTTGGTTGAGGGTGACACAGTTTGTTGTTTGAGGGTGACACAGTTTGTTGGTTGTGGGTGACACAGTTTGTTGGTGTGTTGTGGGTGACACAGTTTGTTGGTGTGTTGGTATGACACAGTTTGTTGGTGTGTTGGGATGACACAGTTTGTTGGTGTGTTGTGGGTGACACAGTTTGTTGGTGTGTTGAGGGTGACACAGTTTGTTGGTTGTGGGTGACACAGTTTGTTGGTTGAGGGTGACACAGTTTGTTGGTTGTGGGTGACACAGTTTGTTGCTGTGTTGAGGGTGACACAGTTTGTTGGTTGTGGATGACACAGTTTGTTGGTTGAGGGTGACACAGTTTGTTGGTTGTGGGTGACACAGTTTGTTGGTGTTTTGTGGGTGACACAGTTTGTTGGTGTGGTGGCATGACACAGTTTGTTGGTGTATTGTGGGTGACACAGTTATTTGGTTGAGGGTGACACAGTTTGTTGGTGTGTTGGGATGACACAGTTTGTTGATGTACTGAGGGTGACACAGTTTGTTGGTGTATTGTGGGTGACACAGTTATTTGGTTGAGGGTGACACAGTTTGTTGGTGTGTTGGGATGACACAGTTTGTTGATGTACTGAGGGTGACACAGTTTGTTGGTGCTTTGATGGTGTTTGTGGTTTGTTAAAGTGTACATTTTATTAGGGTAGAATGGGAAGCTAGTAAATAATGAATGGGATAAGATTGTGTGACACAGCAAATGGCCGCCATTAGCTTGTCTTCATCTCAGCCCATTGTTCCTAGACTAGACTAGTTGTACGTGTGGTAGACAAAGACCAAGTGACCATAAAGTGGACACATGGACACATAAGTGTCCATATGACAAACTCGGGGCACATAATTATCCATATGCCCTAGGATTATCTCAGTTGAAGAACTCGCTACCCACGGGATTTATTCACAGGCATTAGCGTCACTGTAAAGGATGATAATGAAGGGTGTAGTTATTTAGTAAAGATTTTTTTTTACTTACAACAACAGAGAATGAAAGCTATTAAAATGATCTTCATGGCAGTCGATAGATTTTTCCAACAAACTCTGAAAATAATAATTGGAATTAAAAGCTTAGTGACAACAGTATCACATCTACAAAAACATTAGTAGTGACAGCAGTAGTATAGTGACAACAGTATTATAGTGACATGAGTAGTATAGTGACGAGAGTAGTATAGTGACCTGAGTAGTATAGTGACATAAGTAGTATAGTGACATAAGTAGTATAGTGATCTGAGTAGTATAGTGACCTGAGTAGTATAGTGACATGAGTAGTATAGTGACATGAGTAGTATAGTGACATGAGTAGTATAGTGACATGAGTAGTATAGTGACATGAGTTGTATAGTGAAATGAGTAGTATAGTGACAACAGTAGTATAGTGACAACAGTAGTATAGTGACATCAGTAGTATAGTGACATGAGTAGTATAGTCACATAAGTAGTATATTGACATGCGTAGTATAGTGACAACAGTAGTATAGTGACATTAGTAGTATAGTGACATGAGTAGTATAGTGACATAAGTAGTATATTGACATGAGTAGTATAGTGACATCAGGAGTATAGTGACATCAGTAGTATAGTGACATGAGTAGATAGTGACATCAGAAGTATAGTGACATGAGTAGATAGTGACATCAGTAGTACAGGAACAAAAATATTAAAACAACGACAACATCTTTAGTTTAGTGGCAACATCATGAATACAATGACAACATCATAAGTATATTTGCAATAACATTGACACCATGACATCATTAGTAAAACGACAACATCATAAGTACAGTTGCAACAACATTGATACCGTGACATCATTAGTACAACGACAACATCATTAGTACAGTAACATCAATAAAATGATGACATTTACAGTACATTTGCAACATCATTACAATGACATCAATAGCATTATGACATCTGTAGCACATAATTTTTACAGTCATGTGGAAAAAACAACTACTTCCACAATACAGTTAGAACATCGTTTGTACACTGACTTCAATAATATAGTGTCAGAAATAAAAGTACTACGACACTATACAATTGTTTAACAAAAGCAATGTATTCTAGTCATTAATGTTGAAGTTAAATAGATTAATTTGCTAAAGATGGACGATGCTTAACGCTGAGCTTAACTCATATCTTGGCTAAAATTTCCACAAAGAGGACTAAGTCAAGTTAACCCATATCTAAGACTTCTCTCTTAACAAGCCTGAAACACATGACATCTGTAACATAGAGCCAGTGGCGTAGGCAGGGGGGGAATCCTCGGTATATATATAAAAAGTATGAGGGGGGTGCAAATCGAAAGTTTGAGGGGGGGGGGGTGCAACTCGAAAGTTTGAGGGGGGGGTGCAAATCGAAAGTTTGAGGGGGGGGGGTGCAAATCGAAAGTTTGTCCCCGGGTAAAAATTGGAACACCCCCACCCCTTGAGATGATCCTGGCTACGCCACTGCATAGAGCCTACTAGATGAACCTCATACACCATCTAGTGTGCTCGAGAATGTCCAACGATTATTAAACAAGTTATAGAATTGTAAGATTGACAAGTAAAGGGAAACAACCATGAAAATATAGGAAAACGGAGCTTTCTTTGTTTCCTCCCTTATAAGCAGATTCGATTCGATAACATGGCCGGGTGTTAGTTGATACGATTGACTAACACTCTTGACGTCTCTAGTTCAACATAGCTCTGTTGTGTATGGCAACAGTAGTGTAATGTAGAGGTGGTGGGTATGGTGCTGACTGCACTACCACAGTGGTGTAATGTAGAGGTGGCGGGCTGACTGCACTACCACAGTGGTGTAAGGTAGAGGTGGTGGGTATGGTGCTGACTGCACTACCAAAGTGGTGTAATGTAGAGGTGGTGGGTATGGTGCTGACTGCACTACCACAGTGGTGTAATGTAGAGGTGGTGGGTATGGTGCTGACTGCACTACCACAGTGGTGTAATGTAGAGGTGGTGGGTATGGTGCTGACTGCACTACCACAGTGGTGTAATGTAGAGGTGGTGGGTATGGTGATGACTGCACTACCACAGTGGTGTAAAGTAGAGGTGGTGGGCTGACTGCACTACCAAAGTGGTGTAATGTAGAGGTGGTGGGTATGGTGCTGACTGCACTACCACAGTGGTGTAAAGTAGAGGTGGTGGGTATGGTGCTGACTGCACTACCACAGTGGTGTAATGTAGAGGTGGTGGGTATGGTGCTGACTGCACTACCACAGTGGTGTAATGTAGAGGTGGTGGGTATGGTGCTGACTGCACTACCACAGTGGTGTAATGTAGAGGTGGTGGGTATGGTGCTGACTGCACTACCACATTGGTGTAATGTAGAGGTGGTGGGTATGGTGCTGACTGCACTGCCACAGTGGTGTAATGTAGAGGTGGTGGGTATGGTGCTGACTGCACTACCACAGTGGTGTAAAGTAGAGGTGACGGTATGGTGCTGACTGCACTACCACAGTGGTGTAAAGAAGAGGTGGTGGGTATGGTGCTGACTGCACTACCACAGTGGTGTAATGTAGAGGTCGTGGGTATGGTACTGACCACTACCACAGTGGTGTAATGTAGAGGTGGTAGGTATGGTGCTGACTGCACTACCACGGTGGTGTAATGTAGAGGTGGTGGGTATGGTGCTGACTGCACTACCACAGTGGTGTAAAGTAGAGGTGACGGTATGGTGCTGACTGCACTACCACAGTGGTGTAAAGAAGAGGTGGTGGGTATGGTGCTGACTGCACTACCACAGTGGTGTAATGTAGAGGTCGTGGGTATGGTACTGACTGCACTACCACAGTGGTGTAATGTAGAGGTGGTAGGTATGGTGCTGACTGCACTACCACGGTGGTGTAATGTAGAGGTGGTGGGTATGGTGCTGACTGCACTACCACAGTGGTGTAATGTAGAGGTCGTGGGTATGGTACTGACTGCACTACCACAGTGGTGTAACGTAGAGGTGGCGGGTATGGTACTGACTGCACTACCACAGTGGTGTAATGTAGAGGTGGCGGGTATGGTGCTGACTGCACTACCACAGTGGTGTAATGTAGAGGTCGTGGGTATGGTACTGACTGCACTACCACAGTGGTGTAATGTAGAGGTGATGGGCTGACTGCACTACCACAGTGGTGTAATGTAGAGGTGATAGGTATGGTGCTGACTGCACTACCACAGTGGTGTAATGTAGAGGTGGTGGGTATGGTGCTGACTGCACTACCACAGTGGTGTAATGTAGAGGTCGTGGGTATGGTACTGACTGCACTACCACAGTGGTGTAATGTAGAGGTGGTGGGTATGGTGCTGATTGCACTACTACAGTGGTGTAATGTAGAGGTTGTGGCTGACTGCACTACCACAGTGGTGTAATGTAGAGGTTGTGGCTGACTGCACTACCACAGTGGTGTAATGTAGAGGTGGTGGGTATGGTGCTGACTGCACTACCACAGTGGTGTAATGTAGAGGTGGTGGCTGACTGCACTACCACAGTGGTGTAATGTAGAGGTGGTGGCTATGGTGCTGACTGCACTACCACAGTGGTGTAATGTAGAGGTGGTGGGCTGACTGCACTACCGCAGTGGTGTAATGTAGAGGTTGTGGCTGACTGCACTACCACAGTGGTGTAATGTAGAGGTGGTGGGTATGGTGCTGATTGCACTACTACAGTGGTGTAATGTAGAGGTGGTGGGTATGGTGATGTATTCCCTATCCCTTTAACCATGATCTAGATTCTAGATCTAGATCTTGGTAGTCATGATGGTAGGAGACAAGCCTGCCTCACTAAGTCCTCACTAACGTATTGATGTATCGTGCGATAAGTACATTAAGCACGACCCCATACCATACACAACCAACCAAAAGTTAGGTAATGAGGCATTAACTAATAAAATACATGGTATGTAATGGAAAAAACAAGATAAAAACAAAATCAAACAGACCTCTCTTCAAGTACAGCATGCGCAAAGTACGTCAATCTTGTAGAAAACCATAACAAAGCGTCATCAAAATTTCCCTAGTTACGTTAGTTACAAGATTGACTATTTAAAAAAGTAGAATTGGTTAACGAAAAAAATTATATTTCTTTTCAGTGTTTTCTTATAGAATTTGCATTTAAATCGGCTTAACAGTGGCGGCATAACAGCTGTGTAAGTTGGCCCGAAATGAGGGGCCATTTGTAAATCAACAAGATGGCCACGTGGGGACTTGAAATAAACAAGTGTTTTCGTTATGCCTTGTTATACTGGGCAGATCATGCCCTTGGTATGTCAAACGGTCGTAAAAAAAAACAGTTTTAACCCGCGTCGCCCAAAGGTAGTAACTATTCACTTCATAGATTCCAAAAATAAAAAGGGCTCGTATAGTAATCAGCTTGATACCATTAATCTACAGTCTTTGTTAGTGACGTCCGTTTATGTACAGTCTTTGTTAGTGACGTCCGTTTATCTACAGTCTTTGTTAGTGACGTCCGTTTATCTACAGTCTTTGTTAGTGACGTCCGTTTATCTACAGGTTTCTTAGTGACGTCCGTTCATCTACAGTCTTTGTTAGTGACGTCCGTTTATCTACAGTCTTTGTTAGTGACGTCCGTTTATCTACATTCTTTGTTACTGACGTCCGTTTATCTACAGTCTTTGTTAGTGACGTCCGTTTATCTACAGTCTTTGTTAGTGACGTCCGTATATCTACAGTCTTTGTTAGTGACGTCTGTTTATCTACAGTCTTTGTTAGTGACATCCGTTTATCTACAGTCTTTGTTAGTGACGTCCGTTTATCTACAGGTTTCTTAGTGACGTCCGTTCATCTACAGTCTTTGTTAGTGACGTCCTTTTATCTACAGTCTTTGTTAGTGACGTCCGTTTATCTACATTCTTTGTTACTGACGTCCGTTTATCTACAGTCTTTGTTAGTGACGTCCGTTTATCTACAGTCTTTGTTAGTGACGTCCGTATATCTACAGTCTTTGTTAGTGACGTCTGTTTATCTACAGTCTTTGTTAGTGACATCCGTTTATCTACAGTCTTTGTTAGTGACGTCCGTTTATCTACAGGTTTCTTAGTGACGTCCGTTCATCTACAGTCTTTGTTAGTGACGTCCGTTTATCTACATTCTTTGTTAGTGACGTCCGTTTATCTACAGTCTTTGTTAGTGACGTCCGTTTATCTACAGTCTTTGTTAGTGACGTCCGTATATCTACAGTCTTTGTTAGTGACGTCTGTTTATCTACAGTCTTTGTTAGTGACATCCGTTTATCTACAGTCTTTGTTAGTGACGTCCGTTTATCTACAGTCTTTGTTAGTGACGTCCATTTATCTTCAGTCTTTGTTAGTGACGTCCGTTTATCTAAAGTCTTTGTTAGTGACGTCCGTTTATGTACAGTCTTTGTTAGTGACGTCTATTTATCTGCAGTCTTTGTTAGTGACGTCCGTTTATCTACAGTCTTTTTTAGTGACGTCCGTTTATCTACAGTCTTTGTTAGTGACGTCCGTTTATCTACAGTCTTTGTTAGTGACGTCCGTATATCTACAGTCTTTGTTAGTGACGTCTGTTTATCTACAGTCTTTGTTAGTGACATCCGTTTATCTACAGTCTTTGTTAGTGACGTCCGTTTATCTACAGTCTTTGTTAGTGACGTCCATTTATCTTCAGTCTTTGTTAGTGACGTCCGTTTATCTAAAGTCTTTGTTAGTGACGTCCGTTTATGTACAGTCTTTGTTAGTGACGTCTATTTATCTACAGTCTTTGTTAGTGACGTCCGTTTATCTACAGTCTTTGTTAGTGACGTCCATTTATCTACAGTCTTTGTTAGTGACGTCCGTTTATCTACAGTCTTTGTTAGTGACGTCTGTATATCTACAGTCTTTGTTAGTGACGTCCGTTTATCTACAGTCTTTGTTAGTGACGTCAGTTTATCTATAGTCTTTGTTAGTGACGTCCGTTTATCTACATTCTTTGTTAGTGACGTCCGTGTATCTACATTCTTTGTTAGTGACGTCCGTTTATCTACAGTCTTTGTTAGTGACGTCAGTTTATCTACAGTCTTTGTTAGTGACGTCCGTTTATCTACAGTCTTTGTTAGTGACGTCCGTTTATCTACAGTCTTTGTTAGTGACGTCCGTTTATCTACATTCTTTGTTACTGACGTCCGTTTATCTACAGTCCTTGTTTGTGACGTCCGTTTTTCTACAGTCTTTGTTAGTGACGTCCGTTTATCTACAGTCTTTGTTAGTGACGTCCGTTTATCTACAGTCTTTGTTAGTGACGTCCGTTTATCTACAGTCTTTGTTAGCGACATTCTGTCTTTGTTATCACTGTCTTTGTTAGTGACGTCCGTTTATCTACAGTCTTTGTTAGTGACGTCAGTTTATCTACAGTCTTTGTTAACGACATTCTGTCTTTGTTATCACTGTCTTCATTAGTGACGTCCGTTTATCTACAGTCTTTGTTAGTGACGTCCGTTTATCTACAGTCTTTGTTAGTGACGTCCGTTTATCTACAGTCTTTGTTAGTGAAATCCTGTCTTTGTTATTACTGTCGTTGTTAGTCACGTCCGTTTACCTACATTCTTTGTTAGTGACGTCCGTTTATCTACAGTCTTTGTTAAGAACGTCCCATCCAATACTCCTACTTGAAAAGTCTTTTTTTTTTTGTTTTGCTCAGAAAGAAATAACACAACATTATAAATGACAGAACTCAACATTTTATTGAAATAAAGTTCCAATCACGTTTAAACAAATTGAAACACATGGAATGTCAGCTTAAATGGACATAATATTAAGATAAAGAGACCAATGCTACAGTTCTACCGACCAGGTGTCGTGTCCTGAATACAGTACTTATAAATTAATAATTAGGGTATTTCCTACAAACGACAAGCAGCCCATTCTTTTTGAACAATCTAAAAACGGTATCAAATGATCCGGGATTTTTTTTTATAATATATAAAAAGTAAACTCTAAATCGATGTTAACTTTTTTTTAAACAAACAGATTATTTTTTAACAGTATTTGAACCATGCTTGAACAATTTTGAAAAAAAAAACGAGATTGGTATGTACGAGGCTGTCAAAAATAAATGCTATGGTCCATTGTAACTCATTCCGTTGCTCTTCCTCCATCTTAACCCCTGCTTCCTACCGAACTGACTGCGTGACTACTAAAGAACTTTCCTTTTTGCAATCTCTGCCTGAACGTCCTCGCTTAGGACATCACGTTTTGACACATCCACATGTTGGCTCGGCTTCTCATTACGTTTTGACACATGCACATGTTGGCTCGGCGTCTTCTCATTACGTTTTGACACATGCACATGTTGGCTCGGCGTCTTCTCATTGGCCTGTGCGACGAGGATGCCTGTAGTAATACACGTTGAAAACATTTACAGGACAGAATATGGAACATTTGTGGTATTGTTAGAGTAACGTTGGTGTACTTTTACGGTACTTTCATGGTCCTGTTGTGAAACTGTTATACTACAGTTGCCTCTGGCACCATTTGGCACTGTTATGGTATTGTTAATTAAAGCAAGAGTTACCATGGCAACCGTTGATAGAATGAAAACTGACTTACAGCAGGCAAGAAGCAATGCTACGTAGATGAGCTTCATGGTTGGATTCCTGACTTACACAGACGTTGAAGAATGCAGGTGATGGATTCCAGATGTTATTTAACTGTGAGGAATACAACAATGTTACAGAGCTGTACATTTATTTCACGTTAGATTAAATTAAAGTAAAAAAAAATGTTGCACTTGTCATGTGGCTTTTACTAGATGAGAGGTGAAACTACCTCACATATCACATCTATATGACTTATGTCTCAGTCTCATAAAGATACAAACAGATGGCCTGTATCTAAGTAGATCTAAGACTATATTTGCCACAAATCTAAAACTAACATCTAGATGAATATATCCCTGTATTAGTTGTTCTATTACCTGTAGTTGTAGTTCTACTAACTGTGATTGTAGTTCTACTATCAATGATTTTAGTTCTACTACCTGTGATGTTTTTTTTTTTACTACCAGTGATTGTAGTTCTACTACCTGTGATTGTAGTTCTACTTCCAGTGATTGTAGTTCTACTACCAGTGATTGTTGTTCCACTACATGTGATTGAAGTTATATTGGACAGTTTGTCAGTTAGACAGTCGGTCTGTAGTGAATTCCTGAATACAAGAAACTGGACTCCAGTTTTCATAACTATATAAGTTTATTTACACAGTAGAAATAATATGAATTTATCATTGAATGAGTGTATAGACTGCACTTGATAGACAATTGTAGAAAATACATTTTAGCGCACCGATATGTCTTTCACACACTTCTCGGGGATAGTCTCGTCTTTAATGGTGGCTTCATGGTGGATGCATGGTGGATGTATGGTGGCTGTATGGTGGATGTATGATGGCTGTATGATGGCTGTATGGTGGCTGTATGGTGGCTGTATGGTGGCTGTATGGTGGCTGTATGGTGGCTGTATGGTGGCTGTATGGTGGCTGTATGGTGGCTGTATGGTGGCTGTATGGTGGATGTATGGTGGCTGTATGGTGGATGTATGATGGCTGTATGATGGCTGTATGGTGGCTGTATGGTTGATTTATGGTGGCTGTATGGTGGCTGTATGGTGACTGTATGGTGGCTGTATGGTGGCTGTATGGTGGCTGTATGGTGGCTGTATGGTGGCTGTATGGTGGCTGTATGGTGGCTGTATGGTGGCTGTATGGTGGCTGTATGGTGGATGTATGGTGGCTGTATGGTGGCTGTATAACATCAAATTTACCTCAGGTTGACTTTTTACGGGCCGCTATGAAGTCAAAATATTTATCATATATATATATATATATATATATATATATATATATATATATATATATATATATATATATATATATATATAACAAAATGTGAAAACATCTCTCCCTACCTTTCTTCAAATGTCTACTGTTGTAAACGTGTTAGGATTGTAGTGCCGTTTGTCTGATCTGATGAAGAACGCGTGCACGCGTTAAATACAGAGGGGCATGTGTTTTGGACATAAAACACTCACTGTCAATGACTTTATGGCTTTATCATTTCTGATTTACAGAATATTGGCACGAAATTTTAGCGATCATCGTTAACAGAAAATTGGTGGCCTCCTTTTAAATCATCACTGTCAATGACTTTATGGCTTTATCATTTCTTATTTACAGAATATTGACACGAGAATTTTAACGATCACGTTTAACAGCAAATTGAAGTGCTCCGTTTCAGCACATTAATTAGTCACTGTCAATGAATTATGTGTTTAATACTTATTTTTCACAAAACATTAATTCGAAATTTTTAACGATCATCGTAAACAGAAAATTGGCGGCCTCGTGTTCAGCCCCTTAAATCATCACTGTCAATGAGTTATGGCTTTATCATTTCTTTTTTACAAAACGTTGATACGTAATTTTAACGATCAATTCAACAGCAAATTGAAGGCCTCCGTTTCAGCCAGTGGCGTAACTAGAAAAAAAGGGCCATCCCACAAAGAATTTTTTCGGCCCCATATATATATATATATATATATATATATATATATATATATATATATATATATATATATATATATATATATATATATATATATATATATATATATATATATATAAAATACGAAATACGAACAACATACTCATTTCGGGCTTGTTTCGAGATTTGCAAAAAAAACCTAAAAGTTCTAATTTTTTTTTAAATTTAAATAAGTTTAAACAAAAAGTCATTTGTATGAGTGCTATTATTCTGTTTTGAAAATTTCCGTTTTGATATATTTGCCATCCTTCTACCAATTGGCAAATCGGTGTAAACAATATGAAGCATAAGATCTTTGTATGTGTAAAGGTTTCTTGCGTTATGTTTATTTTTATGTTTTTTTTTGTAGTTATGTTATTAGTTTTAAATACATTTCCTTTTTGTACTATGGCATTCTTTATCATGTTTTTTTTTTTAAATTAATAATCAAGAAAAGTAATTGCTTATTAATTTGTTTAGCGCAAATCTATTAAAAAGTGCTTAAGAGCACACATATTTGACTATTTAAAAAGGGAAATAAGTCATGGAAATTGATTAAACGTTTGCCTATCTTTCACACTACTACTCATGTAGGCTTCATATATATTTTTTAGCGCAATTTCCATACTGACAATTGCGATTATTAATTCGTTATTTCTGGATGGATGTGTGTCCGCAGCTTTTTAATTCATGGATGGATGTGTGTCCGCAGCTTTAAGTCGTATCTCCTCCTCAACAAAGCAATATCGAGGACTAGTTCCAAAGCAAATATGTTAAGCAAGTTCCGAGGATGATTGTGGGCCAAAAAAATTCCAGGAATTCCTTCCTGGATTTCCCGGAAAAAAACAAAAAACCTCGAAAAAATGCAGTTTTCGGCCCATATCTCGGCAATTAGACCACTTGGCGACTTGAAACATTTACCAATCGATTCCTGAAATAACTTAGAACAATATTGCCGAAGAAAGTTCGCACGATTACAATACTTTCTCTATACTACGTATATACGAGACAGTAAAAATGCAAGAAAATGATTTTTTTAACTATAAAAAAATTGATTATGGTCGGCTGTGGGCCCCTAAACGGCACCCCCACCTCGCATTGCGGGGTCTGGCGGCACTGTAGTTCCGCCCCTGGTTTCAGCCCATTAATTAGTCACTGTGAATGAATTATGTGTTTAATACTTATTTTTCACAAAACATTAATACGAAATTTTTAACGATCATCGTAAACAGAAAATTGGTGGCCTCCTGTTAAATCGTCACTATCAATGAGTTATGGCTTCCCTACCCACCGCTGTGCGCACAATTTCTGTGCGCTAAATAACGTAGCCACCACGCAGCTAGTTGGGACATTTAAACAGTACAGTTGACGTCATAATCCTACAAGTGACAACCCCTGACAACCCCTGATGAATGACCCCCACATTGTGTATGCCAAGGATTATACTCAGTGGTTAGGTACCAAACAGCAGACGTTGTTTAGTCAGTAAGGAAGGGGAGGGATGTATGTGTGTTTGTTTATGTGCGTGTGAGAGTTTGTGTGTGTGTGTGGTTGGGTTACTAGGGTGATTGACATGTAATGAGCTAATTATATGACCTAAAATAAAACTCGACTCTGAGCTTTAATAAAAAAAACCCAGCAAATGTGACGCACGAGCGTATAATTTCTACAACAAAAAATCACATCTATACCGACAAGCTCTGTTAAATAAATAAACATTGCTATTTAAGTTTAACACATAAAACATGTCTACAGACCAGCCAACAAGTATGTACCCATACACCCAAACACTGAGTACAACTTACAAAAAAACAACTGACAACATTAAGCTAGATTTTTAAATTAATCCACGCTTCTTAAGTCCAATCAGTCTTTACCACTGAGGAATATTTAATTAGTTTAAAAAAAAATTAATTAATATTTAATTAATTTGCACCATCTGGAAATTACTCATTATCTTAGAGCCGTTAACTTGTCCATAAAATCTTCTTATATTACTTAATGTTCAATGCCCAAAAATGTTTTATTAGTTTAGAAAATCTAGGAGTAGATAATTTGCCTGTACAACCTACTAGCAGAGGCGTAGCGACGGGGGGGGGGGGGTACATATGTCCCCGAGCTCCGACCATGGGGGGGGGGCAAAATAAGTTCAATTTAGCTGTTAATTTGAATTACAAATATAAAAAAATTATGCGGGTGGGGTGGGGGGGGGGGGGGGGGGGCCAAATTGAAAGTTTGTCCCCGGGCGCCGGGAGGGGTCCATACGCCTCTGGCTTTATCATTTCTTTTTTTTACAAAACCTTGATACAAAAATTTTAACGATCACATTTAACAGCAAATTGAAGGCCTCCGTGTCAGCCCATTAATTAGTCACTGTCAATGAATTATGTGTTTAATATTTATTTTTTACAAAACATTAATACGCAATTTTTAACGATCATCGTAAACAGAAAATTAGAGGCCTAATATTCAGCCTATTAATCCGTCGCTGTTAGTGAATTATGGCTTTAAGGCTTTTTAAAAATCTAATAAGATAAAGCTAGCGTCTAGGTCAGGTTTGAATTCTTATTAATTGTATGCATAATAAAAAAAAGTGTCACTAACCGACCTGTCACTTCAAATGGGCAGGCATAACATTAAAAATACATTAATTCCTACCAAACGTAGTGATTTCGAACGATGCAAATAGCCAGACCAGTAGGTCTATCCATTATAATAGTTTTGATGTCTGTGTATGTATGTATGTATGTGTTGGGAACGATATTACTGTAGAGAAAACACGAGTAAAAATATGCATAATCATCCAAAAACGAAACGTGACGTCACATGGAATATATAGTAGGAACATTTCTAAAGCCCGAAAAGTACACAGCGTCATTGATTCTCGAGTAAACATTGAGTTAAAAAGCCAATTTTGTCTTATCTTAAAAGTGGTTTGCTTTTGAGTTTCTTTCATGCATCTCTTCGGTTAGGAGGAAAGCCACTCCCTCCTCCCTGGTAGAACGTCTACCCCCCCCAAAAGAATAATAATTTATATAGAAAATATATACTTTTACCAGTGTCGCCCTCCCCTGCCCTGGAGAATTTTATTCGCCCCTGCAAAAATTCCAGTACCCCACCCCCGGAGAAAAAAGTCTGAAAGAAACACTGTTTGCGTGAGTGAGATTTATCGACCAAAAGTAGAAAACGGGCCTATAATATAGAAGTCGCATCTTCCTTTGGTTTGTATGATCTACAAATGCGACCAGGCGATCCGGGTTTCTTTCAGACTTTTTCCTCCCTGGAAAGGGGGAGGAAGGAGACTTGAAATTTTCGCGGGTGGGGGTGGACTAAATTTTTTGGAAGGGGGCGGACACTGGTAAAACTATTTTTCTATAAAATTATATTTCGTTGAGTGGGACGGTAGACGTGTTATGCGGTGTGTGGGAGGGGAGTGGGGTAGGAGGGGGGGGGGGGGGGTGGAGGAGCGGGACAATGCTTAGTATCAATATGCAGTAACTACGTGTAGATCAAGCTTCCGGTTAAAATTCCGATTCTGGTCAGAAATTATTTTTCAATGTCATTTTTCGTTTCCGGTTAAATTTTAAGTTGAGACGGTGATTTTGGTTTGAGTTAAGAGAAAAAGACAACACTATCAACCTAGCGGCGCCCGTTCTATCACTCCCTCAACGGGCCATTTGTCTCGTGTATATATATATATATATATATATATATATATATATAAATATATATATATATATATATATATATATATATATATATATATATATATATATATATATATATATATATATATATATATATATATATATATATATATATATATATATATATATATATATATATATATATATATATATATATATATATATTATTTTTATTTTATTGTGTCTATTTTATAGCGTTTTGGTTTCGCCTATCACTAGCAAGTCCTTTTTTGTTAGCTTATTGGCAGACTATACATAAACTGAAGTGTTTTTTTAGCCAGATCTACTGTAGGTGTCATAATTTATTTTTTGTAATTTAAAAAATAACCGGGAGTAATCTCCCCTAAACTTTCTCGAATATTCTTATATAACACAACGGGAGATGCACATCATGATATAGACATGATTTTTAATGCATTTTTACTTTTTTACTTGTAATCGTGCAAAAAAAAAAATCGAGATTTTTGCAAATCTCGACGTTTTACATCTCACTGATACGGAAAAACATAATTTTACAATCTTGTCCGTATGTCTGTGTGTCTGTCTGTGTGTGTGTGTGTGTGTGTGTGTGTGTGTGTCCGCGTGTAAACACGACAACTTGAGTACTGTTACAGCTAGGTAGATGAAATTTCATATATAAGTATTTTATCAAAATCGTAGATCCGTATCAATTTTTGAGCGATTTCCGATAACCGGAAGTGGTACTTTTTCTACTTTGAATTTTCAAAAGCCTATAACTTGAGTACTATTTCAGATAGATAAATGACATTTGATATGTAAGTAAAAGATCTAATTCTCTACCTTCTGTCAAATTTTGAGTAATTTCCGTTTACCTGAAGTACTTATTTTCGCTATTTCTGATTTCTCAAAAAACGCATGTAAAAATTTATAAAGTACTAATAATATTGCGCACTATTATGCACATCTTTATTTAGCGTTTACTTGGTGTGCATTTCTTTTTTCTACGAGATTATATTCTATTTTTAAAAAAGTTGATACGGATCTACGATTTTGATAAAATACTTATATATGAAATTTCATCAACCTAGCTGTAACGGTACTCAAGTTATCGTGTTTACACACGGACACACACACACACACACACACACACAGACAGACACACAGACATACGGACAAGATTGCAAAATTATGTTTTTCCGTATCAATGAGATGTGAAACGTCGAGATTTGCAAAAATCTCGATTTTTTTTTGCACGATTACAAGACTTTCTCTATACTTCGTATATACGAGAAAGTAAAAAGACAAATTCGACTGTGACACCCCAGATCGATAAAGAGTGGTGATGTGTGTCGGGTGATATATGAAAAAAAGAGTTGTGATGTGTGTCGTGTGATGTATGAAATAAACCGGGAGTGATCTCCCCTAAACTTTCTCGAATATTCTTATATAAAACAACAGGGGATGGGAACTCGGGCTATAGACATGATTTTTAATCCATTTTAAATACTTAAAGTTTTACAAATAGAATAAAATCTCGTAGACAAAAGAATTGCACACCAAGTGAACGCCAAATAAAAAAGTGCATAATAGTGCGCAATATTATTAGTACTTTAAAATTAGTACTTTACATTAGCTTTTTGAGAAATCGGAAGTAACGTAAATTACAACTTCCGGTAAATGGAAATTACTCAAAATTTAACAGAAGGTAGAGAATTAGATCTTTTACTTACATGTGAAATTTCATTTATCTATCTGAAATAGTACTCAAGTTATAGGCTTTTGAAAAATTCAAAGTAGAAAAAGTACCACTTCCGGTTATCGGAAATCGCTCAAAAGTTGATACGGATCTACGATTTTGATAAAGTATGAAATTTCATCAACCTAGCTGTAATGGTACTCAAGTTATCGTGTTTACACACGGACAGACACACACACACACAGACACACAGGCATACGGACAGAGTTGCAAAGTCCAGTTTTTCAGACTGGATTACGCACAAAACCCCTTAATTTTGATACATCTGGATTGATAATTTTTGCCCGATTAAAATAAGTCCTCTATACTTTGGATGTGATGAAGGACTGAGGTGTAATACGGTGAAAATTGTTAAAATTTCAAGTGATTTTTGTGCACGATTACAATACTTTCTCTATACTTCGTATATACGAGAAAGTAAAAAAGAGTTGTGATGTGTGTCGTGTGATGTATGAGATAGGGTTGTGATATGTGTCGGGTGATGTATGAGAAAGGGTTGTGATGTGTGTCGGGTAATGTATGAGATAGGGTTGTGATGTGAATCGTGTGATGTATGAAAAAAGAGTAGTGATGTGAGTCGTGAGATGTATGAGATAAGGTTGCGATGTGTGTCATATATATATATATATATGTTGTATATAGGTTGTAAGAAACAAATTATTGATAAGAAATTGTTAACGGCCATCAATATTTGTTAGTGACGTCCGTTTATCTAGTTTTTGTTAGTGATGTCCGTTTATCTACAGTCTTTGTTAAAGACGTCCATTCCTCTACAGTCTTTGTTAGTAACGTCCGTTCAATTACAGCCTTTGTTAGTGACGTCCGTTTATCTACAGTCTTTGTTAGTGACGTCCGTTTATCTACAGTCTTTGTTAGTGACGTCCGTTTATCTAGTTTTTGTTAGTGACGTCCATTTATCTAGTCTTTGTTAGTGACGTCCGTTTGTCTACAGTCTTTGTTAGTGACGTCCATTTATCTACAACATTTGTTAGTAACGTCTGGTCTCTCTTGTGGTATCCCTCCAAATTGTCGTGTTTTGTCGAGTAAAAAAAATAACAGAACACTAGGAATGACAGAACTCAACATTTTATTGAAATAAAGCTCCAATCACGTTTTAAACTAATTACAACACATAGCATGTCGGTTTAATATGGACATAATCTTTAGGATAAAGTGACCAGTGCTACAGCTCTACTGACCAGTTGTCGTATCCTGGATACAGTACTTAAGGTGCGCGGTGTTCTTTAGGTTGAGCTGAACCTATAGGTAAATGATCTGAAATTGACCTACCTGACCTGACTAGTTACTGTAACAGATGCCTGTTGTCTGTAGCATTAAATATGACCTTACATGGCGATTTAACCGAACACTACAATAAACTAATCACTAGGTTATTTATAACTAATGACAAGCAGTCTATTCTTTTAGAACAATGTAAAAACGGAATCAAATGTTCATTTTTTATATTTAAAAAGGATAGAAATGTTTTTTGTAAAACAAACAAGTTATTTTTTAACAGGATTTGAACCATGTTTGAACAATTATAAAAATAAACGAGATTGGTATGTACGAGGCTGTCAAAAATAAATGCTATGGTCCATTGTAACTCCTTCCCCTGCCCTCTCCTCTATCTTAACCCTTCTTCGGTATTGATTTACCACCCTTACGTCTTATACTCTTCCTTTTAGTGATCTCTGACTGAACGTCCGACTTCTTGGCTACCATTGACTTGGCTTCAAGTTTTACTTCCTGTTCAGGTCCCCGTTTGGCCACATTCAAATCCTGGTCCAGCTTGTTCTCAGTGGCCTGCACAGCGAGAACACCTAGAGCAATACGAGAAGTAAACACTTAATGTCAGACTATTCTTATTTCTTGCCAATCTCTTAATTATGGCATTAATCTTGGTACGAGCGTTAACGTTAAACACAATCTAAAACAAGACCTAACAACTTTCTCTTCTTTAAGCAATCCTAAATTTTACACATTCATAAGCTTGGACGCAAATGCTACCTGTTGACCTACCTCTGATCACAATTATGACAATAATACAAACCCTACTAGCTATACTGAGAATGTATTTCCCAGATTGTGGCCACCCTAGAACCCAATAAACCAACCCACCAACATCTTGTATCAAGTCTAAAACTGAGAACAAGTCACCAATGTGGCCTAAAACTGAGAACAAGACACCAATGGGGTCTAAAACTGAGAACAAGACACCAATGGGGTCTAAAACTGAGACCAAGTCACCAATGTGGTCTAAAACTGAGAACAAGACACCAATGTGGTCTAAAACTGAGAACAAGTCACCAATGGGGTCTAAAACTGAGAACAAGACACCAATGGGGTCTAAAACTGAGACCAAGACACCAATGGGGTCTAAAACTGAGACCAAGACACCAATGGGGTCTAAAACTGAGACCAAGACACCAATGTGGTCTAAAACTGAGACCAAGACACCAATGTGGTCTAAAACTGAGAACAAGACACCAATAGGATCGAAACAGACAAGTTCTATTATTACCATCAGTATCTGTGTCACTCCTGGTCGAGAAAAAGTTGTAATGTGTGTCGGATGAGGAATGAGAAACATGTGTGATGTGTGTCGGGTGAGGCAACCGTTAATAGAATGAAAACAGACTTACAACAGACAAGAAGCAATACTATGTAGATGAGCTTCATGGTTGGATTCCTGACTTACACAGACGTTGAAGAATGCAGGTGATGGATTCCAGATGTTATTCAACTGTGAGGAATACATCAATGTTACAGAGCTGTAAATTTATTTCACGTTAGATTAAATTAAAGTAAAAAAAAATGTTGCACTTGTCATTTGGCTTTTACTAGATGAGAGGTGAAACTACCTCACATATCTCATCTATATGGCTTATGTCTCAGTCTCATAAAGATACAAACAGATGGCCTGTATCTAAGTAGATCTAAGACTCTATTTGCCACAAATCTAAAACTAACATTCTAGATGAATCTATCCCCGTACTAGTTGTGCTATTACATGTAGTTGTAGTTCTGCTAACTGTGATTGTAGTTCTACTACCAATGATTTTAGTTCTAATACCTGTGATGTTTTTTTTTACTACCTGTGATTGTAGTTCTACTAAAAGTGATTGTTGTTCTACTACATGTGATGGAAGTTATATTGGAAAGTTTGTCAGTTAGACAGTCGGTCTGTAGTGAATTACTGAATACAAGAAACTGGATTCCAGTTTTCATAACTATATAAGTTTATTTACACAGTAGAAATAATATGAATTTATCATTGAATGAGTGTACAGACTGCACTTGATAGACAATTGTAGAAAATACATTTGAACACACCGAAATGTCTTTCACACACTTCTCGGGGATAGTCTCGTCTTTAATGGTGGCTTCATGGTGTATGTATGGTGGATGTATGGTGGCTGTATGGTGGATGTATGATGGCTGTATGATGGCTGTATGGTGGCTGTATGATGGCTGCATGGTGGCTGTATGGTGGCTGTATGGTGGCTGTATGGTGGCTGTATGGTGGCTGTATGGTGGCTGTATGGTGGATGTATGGTGGGTGTATGGTGGCTGTATGGTGGCTGTATGGTGGCTGTATGTTGGCTGTATGTTGGCTGTATGGTGGCTGTATGGTGGCTGTATGGTGGCTGTATGGTGGCTGTATGGTGGATGTATGGTGGCTGTATGGTGGCTGTATGGTGGCTTTATGGTGGCTGTATGGTGGCTGTATGGTGACTGTATGATGGCTGTATGGTGGCTTTATGGTGGCTGTATGATGGCTGTATGGTGGCTGTATGGTGGCTGTATGGTGGCTGTATGGTTGCTGTATGGTGGCTTTATGGTGGATGTATGGTGGATGTATGGTGGCTATATGGTGGCTGTATAACATCAAATTTACCCCAGGTTGACTTTTTACGGGCCGCTATGAAGTCAAAATATTTATCATATATATATATATATATATATATATATATATATATATATATATATATATATATATATATATATATATATATATATATATATTATATATATATATATATATATATATATATATATATATATATATATATATATATATATATATATATATATATATATATATATATATATAAAACAAAATTTGAAAACATCTCTCCCTACCTTTCTTCAAATGTCTACTGTTGTAAACGTGTTAGGATTGTAGTGCCGTTTGTCTGATCTGATGAAGAACGCGTGCACGCGTTAAATACAGAGGGAAAAGGGCATGTGGTTTGGACATAAAACACTCACTGTCAATGACTATGGTTTTATCATTTCTTTTTTACAGAATATTGGCACGAAATTTAACGATCATCGTTAACAGAAAATTGGTGGCCTCCTGTTAAATCGTCACTGTCAATGACTTTATGGCTTTATCATTTCTTATTTACAGAATATTGACACGAGAATTTTAACGATCACGTTTAACAGCAAATTGAAGTGCTCCGTTTAAGCACATTAATTAGTCACTGTCAATGAATTATGTGTTTAATACTTATTTTTCACAAAACATTAATTCGAAATTTTTAACGATCATCGCAAACAGAAAATTGGCGGCCTCCTGTTCAGCCTCTTAAATCATCACTGTCAATGAGTTATGGCTTTATCATTTCTTTTTTACAAAACGTTGATACGAAATTTTAACGATCAATTCAACAGCAAATTGAAGTCCTCCGTATTAGCCAGTGGCGGAACTAGAAAAAAATGGCCACCCCGCAAAGAATTTTTTCGGCCCCATATATATATATATATATATATATATATATATATATATATATATATATATATATATATATATATATATATATATATATTTATATATATATATATATATATATATATATATATATATATATATATATATATATATATATATATATATATATATATATATATATATATGTTAGGGGTTCTTCGAGAGGTGGATATCTTATATCTTACTTCTGACACCAAATGTTAGGGGGGTTTAAACAGAAGAGGTGATCTTATTCACTCATCCGTGCACCCTTGCGTGGTGACAAAGGGGTCTAATAAGACCTGAGCAAAACTAATTAAAATCTATACAACACCAATATTAAACTAAAAATAAGACATAGTAAACACACATAATATGCATTTATTTATCTTTGTTTGACGTCACCAAGGTTTATATGTTAAAAGCAAAGACACAATACAAATAAGACCTGGCCAGTCTTTCATATTCAAGAAAACATCACTTGAATTTCTAATACAAGTCAAAAAGACAAAAATAATCAAACTTACATTTCAATGCAGAATTAGTCACCGTGGTAACTGACATTAATTCATAGAAAACACATACATAAGTGTGAATAGCAAATCTACATTTACACAACTCAGAATTCACACATGTCATATCCTCTAGTCCTAACTTAAATACTTGCACAGCTTATGTAATCTCAGAATCACACTTGTCACAGTTATTCTTCCTAGTCCTAATTTCACTTGTACTGCTATGTAATCTCAAAATCAAAAACGTAAATGTCATCGTCTCTAATTCTAACTTTACTACTTGCACTGTTATGTAATCCCAGAATCACACGGGTAAATGTTATCATCACTAATTCTGATTCCACTAATCAAACACGGTTAAAGTCCATCTATGAATACTCATCAGTACTCACAACAATCTAGCTCGACACTCAAGCGGCAGGAAGTTTCCAGCCACTGAATAAAACATCTGGCCACTGGTACAAACATTGGGCCACAAAGATAATGGCCACTGGAACGGAGAACATATCTACACGGCAGGAAGATTTCCAGCCACTGGAATAACATTGGCCACATGTATAAACATCAGGTCACACATGTAAATATCTGGAACGAAGCACATATGTACAGCAACAAAACATCGACTGGGCCAATAATCCAGCCTTAGTGGCCAGCCCTCAAGGCTGCCACCATCCGAGGCCTAGACCATCGTGTCTAGCCTATGTGTCTGTCAGAGAAAAAGAGACCTCAACATAGTCTCCCTTCCTCATATATAGGTTAGTCTCACCCCCCTTATCATCTCCCTAGAGCTATAGAACCCGAGTTGGGCTCCGTCCCATCTCTCGACGTTCGAGATAACACCGGTCACTATGCACCCATGCGTTGAACACCCGATAACTGACCGCTATAGATCTTCCCGTTGTCTCAGGGCTAACGATCGTGTCATACACCGCTCGAGCTAACGTACGGCCACGCGGTACTCCCGCCGCGTTTCACACCTGACAACTGACCACAACAGAGATCATGAGTAATGATTCTACCGGGACGTCCAGCGGCATGTCCGAACTCAACTTTAGACATAAATCACCGCGGGTGTCTTCCCAGCATTACGTGTCACTCATGCACCTGCATGGAGCTCGCAGCCCTTAACGACCAGGGTGAGCCGATAACATGTTAATTAAATTTTAGATTTCCCCTGGCCTGTTCATCCCCAATATCTTAGATTAACCCCTTGGGTTTCTGTAACTAGTCCTAGTCACCTAAACCCCTTTAATAAGCACCCAAGTTACCATTTTACTTAAAAATAAACAATATAATACCAGCCAACATGCTTACTTAAGAATCAACAATTTGGTACCAGCCAACATATATATATATATATATATATATATATATATATATATATATATATATATATATATATTTATATATATATATATAATACGAAAATACGAAAATACGAACAACATAATCATTTCGGGCTTGTTTCGAGATTTAAAAAAAAAAAAATTAAAAGTTCTAATTTTTTTTTATTTAAATAAGTTTCAACAAAAAGTCATTTGTATGAGTGCTATTATTCTGTTTTAAAAATTTCCGTTTTGATACGTTTGCCATCATTCTACCAATTGGCAAAGCGGTGAAAAGAATATGAAGCATAATTTATGTTTTTTTTTGTATTTATATTATTAGTTTTAAATACATTTCCTTTTTGTACTATGGCATTCTTTATCATGGTTTTTAAAAAAATTAATAATCAAGAAAAGTAATTGCTTGTTAATTTGTTTAGCGCAAATCTATTATAAAGTGCTTAAGAGCACACCTATTTGACTATCTAAAAAGGGAAATAAGTCATGGAAGTTGTTTAAACGTTTGCCTATCTTTCACACTACTACTCATGTAGGCTTCCTATATATATTTTTTTCTTTTACGCAACAGCGTGTGTTAGCTACTGTAGAACATCACTTCTGTAGTAGATCTGCTAGTTTATTTTTTTACAAAACCACTACCAATGTGCCTGTGTATGCACACACTACCACAGACACGCCCCGGTTTACGCTGATGGTGAAAGAAACACCCCTCGGTGACGGCCTTGGTGTCAGAGGCGTCACAACAGCGTGTGTATGTAGGAGAAAGAGGACTCGGGATGTTGTCTATAGAATAAAGATAATCCAAACCCAGCTACTGTATTCATTTTACAAAACAACTATCAATTAAAAAAATGAAAGAAAATGATTTTTTTTTAACTTTAAAAAAATAATTGATTATGGTCGGCTGTGGGCCCCTAAACGCCCCCCCCCCCACCCCGCATTGCGGGGTCTGGCGGCACTGTAGTTCCTCCCCTGGTTTCAGCCCATTAATTAGTCACTGTCAATGAATTATGTGTTTAATACTTATTTTTCACAAAACATTAATACGAAATTTTTAACGATCATCGTAAACAGAAAATTGGTGGCCTCCTGTTAAATCGTCACTATCAATGAGTTATGGCTTCCCTACCCACCGCTGTACCCACAATTTCTGTGCGCTAAATAACGTAGTCACCACGCAGCTAGTTGGGACATCTAAACAGTACAGTAGACGTCATAATCCTACAAGCGACAACCCCTGACAACCCCTGATGAATGACCCCCGCATTGTGTATGCCAAGGATTATACTCAGTGGTTAGGTAACAAACAGCAGACGTTGTTTAGTCAGTAAGGAAGGGGAGGGATGTATGTGTGTTTGTATATGTGCGTGTGTGTGTGGTGTGTGTGTGTGGTTGGGTTACTAGGGTGATTGACATGTAATGAGCTAATTATGTGACCTAAAATAAAACTCGACTCTGAGCTTTAATAAAAAAAAAACACGAGCAAATGTGACGCACGAGCGTATAATTTCTACAACAAAAAATCACATCTATACCGACAAGCTCTGTAAAATAGATAAACATAGCTATTTAAGTTTAACACATAAAACATGACCACAGACCAGCCAACATGTATGTACCCATACACCCAAACACTGAGTACAACTTACAAAAAACAACTGACAACATTAAGCTAGATTTTTAAATTAATCCACGCTTCTTCAGTCCAATCAGTCTTTACCACTGAGGAATATTTAATTAGTTTAAAAAAATAATTAATTAATATTTAATTAATTTGCACCATCTGGAAATTATTCATTGTCTTAGAGCCGTTAACTTGTCCATAAAATCTTCTTATATTACTTAATGTTCAATGCCCAAAAATGTTTTATTAGTTTAGAAAATCTAGGAGTAGATAATTTGCCTGTCCAACCTACTAGCAGAGGCGTAGCGACGGGGGGGGGGGGGGGGGTACATATGTCCAGGAGCTCCGACAATGGGGGGGGGGGGGGGCGGGCAAAATAAGTTCAATTTAGCTGTTATTTTGAATTACAAATATAAAAAATATATGGGGGAATGGGGGTGGGGGGGTTGCCTAATTGAAAGTTTGTCCCCGGGCGCCGGGAGGGGTTGCTACGCCTCTGGCTTTATCATTTCTTTTTTTACAAAACGTTGATACGAAAATTTTAACGATCACATTTAACAGCAAATTGAAGGCCTCCGTTTCAGCCCATTAATTAGTCACTGTCAATGAATTATGTGTTTAATACTTATTTTTTACAAAACATTAATACGAAATTTTTAACGATCATCGTAAACAGAAAATTAGAGGCCTATTATTCAACTTATTAATCCGTCACTGTTAGTAAATTTTGGCTTTAAGGCTTTTTTAAAAATCTAATAAGATAAAGCTTGCGTCTAGGTCAGGTTTGAATTCTTATTAATTGTACGCATAATAAAAAGAGAGTCACTAACCGATCTGTCACTTCAAATGGGCAGGCATAACATTAAAAATACATTAATTCCTACCAAACGTAGTGATTTCGAACGATGCAAATAGCCAGACCAGTAGGTCTATCCATTATAATAGTTTTGATGTCTGTCTGTGTATGTATGTATGTGTTGGGAACGATATTACTGTAGAGAAAACACCAGTAAAAATATGCATAATCATCCGAAAAACGAAACGTGACGTCACATGGAATATATAGTAGGAAAATTTCTAAAGCCCGAAAAGTACACAACGTCATTGATTCTCGAGTAAACATTGAGTTAAAAAGCCAATTTTGTCTTATCTTAAAAGTGGTTTGCGTTTGAGTTTCTTTCATGCATCTCTTCGGTTAGGAGGAAAGCCACTCCCTCCTCCCTGGTAGAACGTCTACCCCCCCCCAAAAGAATAATAATTTATATAGAAAATATATACTTTTACCAGTCACGCACTCCTCTGCCCTGGAGAATTTTATTCGCCCCTGCAAAAATTCCAGTACCCCACCCCCGGAGAAAAAAGTCTGAAAGAAACACTGTTTGCGTGAGTGAGATTTATCGACCAAAAGTAGAAAACGGGTCTATAATATAGAAGTCGCATCTTCCTTTGGTTTGTATGATCTACAAATGCGACCAGGCGATCAGGGTTTCTTTCAGACTTTTTCCTCCCTGGAAAGGGGGAGGAAGGAGACTTGAAATTGAAAATTTTCGCGGGTGGGGGTGGACTAAATTTTTTGGAAGGGGGCGGACACTGGTAAAACTATTTTTCTATAAAAATTATATTTCGTTGAGTGGGACGGCAGACGTGTTTTGCGGTGTGTGGGAGGGGGGTGGGGGTGGGGTAGGAGGGGGGGGGAGCGGGACAATGCTTAGTATCAATATGCAGTAACTACGTGTAGATCAAGCTTAATTCCGGTTAAAATTCCCATTCTGGTCAGAAATTCTTTTTCAATGACATTTTTCGTTTCCGGTTAAATTTTAAGTTGAGACGGTGATTTTGGTTTTAGTTAAGAGAAAAAGACAACACTATCAACCTAGCATCCGTTCTATCACTCCCTCAACGGGCCATTTGTCTCGTATATATATATATATATATATATATATATATATATATATATATATATATACATATATTTTTTTAATTTTTATTTATTTTTTATTTTTTTTATTGTGCCTATTTTATAGCGTTTTGGTTTCGCCTATCACTAGCAGGTCCTTTTTTTTGTTAGCTTATTGACAGACTATACATAAACTCAAGTGTTTTTCTACTGCAGGTGTCATAATTTATTTTTTGTAATTTAAAAAATAACCGGGAGTGATCTCTCCTAAACTTTCTCGAATATTCTTATATAACACAACGGGAGATGCATATTATGATATAGACATGATTTTTAATGCATTTATAATTACTTAAACTTATAAAAATAGAAAAAATTCTCTGAGAATAAAATAATTGCACACCGAGTAAACGAAAAGCAGTTTGTGTATAATAGTACGGAATATTATTAGTACTTTGTAAATACAAACGCGTTTTTTTTTGAGAAATCGGAAATAGCTAAAAAAAAAAAACCGGGAGCGATCTCCCCTAAACTTTCTCGAATATTCTTTTATAAGAAAACAGGGGATGGGAACTCGGGATATAGACATGAGTTTTAATCCATTTAAAATACTTAAACTTTTTAAAATAGAATAAAATCTCGTAGAAAAAAGAATTGCACATCTGTGAACGCCAAATAAAACGTGCATAATAGTGCGGAATATTATTAGTACTTTATAAATTTACATTCGTTTTTTGAGAAATCGGAAATAGCTTAAATTAGTACTTTCAATCAACGGAAATTACTCAAAATTTAAAAGAAGGTAGAGAATTAGATCTATTACTTAAATTTGAAATTTCATTTATCTATCTGAAATAGTACTTAAGTTAAAGGCTTTTGAAAAACTCAAAGTAGAAAAAAATTCCACTTACGGTTATTGGAAATAGCTCAAAAGTTGATACGGATCTACGATTTTGATAAAATACTTATATATGAAATTTTATCAACCTAGCTGTAACGGTACTCAAGTTTGTGTTTTCTTTGTGTTTGTGGTTTAGTTTGTGTTTGCGTTTGTTTTTGTTTTTGTGTTTTCGTTTGTGTTTGTATTTGTGTTTGTGTTATGTTTGCGTTGTATTTTTGTGTGTTTTGGTTTAGTTTGGGATTGTGTTTGCGTTTGGATTTATTTTCGTTTCCTTTTTTGTTTGCTTTAGTGTTTGTGTTTTCTTTGTGTTTGTGGTTGGGTTTGTCTTTGCGTTTATTTTTGTGTTTTCGTTTGTGTTTGTTTTGTGTTAGTCTTATGTTTGCGTATTTTGGATGTTTTGGTTGGTTGTGGTTAGGGTGGGCAATGCCAGGTAAATGCTGATTACTAAACACACAAGTTATGGTCCATTACAGATACGTTTTTCAGAGATGCCAGTGCAGGGCCTGGCCGGGACGGCTAGTATTCTTATATAACTTGGAATATAGACATGATTTTTAATTACTTAAACTTTTAAAAATAGAATAGAATTTCATAGAAAAAGAATTGCGCACCAAGCGAACGCCAAAACAAAATGTGCATAATAGTGCGCAATATTATTAGTACTTTATAAATTTACATGTGTTTTTTTGAGAAATAGGAAATAGCGTAAATTAGTACTTCCGGTCAACGGAAATTACTCAAAATTTGACAGAAGGTAGAGAATAAGATCTTTTACTTACATGTGAAGATTCATTTATCTATCTGAAATAGTACTAAAGATATAGGCTTTTGAAAAATTCAAAGTAAAAAAAGTACCACTTCCGTTTATCGGAAATAGCTCAAAAGTTGATACGGATCTACGTTCTCTGTATTTCGTATATACGAGAAAGTAAAAAAGCATCTGGTTTTGAGATAAAACATTCATTTAGGTTGTAAGAAACAAAATATTGGTAAAAAATTGTTAACGGTCATCAATATTTGTTAGTGACGTCCGTTTATCTACAGTCTTTGTTAGTGACGTTAGTTTATCTACATTCTTTGTTAGTGACGTCCGTATATCTACAGTCTTTGTTAGTGACGTCCGTTTATCTACAGTCTTTGTTAGTGACGTCCGTTTATCTACAGTCTTTGTTAGTGACGTCCGTTTATATACAGTCTTTGTTAGTGACGTCCGTTTATCTAGTCTTTGTTAGTGACGTCCATTCATCTACAGTCTTTGTTAGTAACGTCCGTTCATTTACAGTCTTTGATAGTAACGTCCGTTCATCTACAGTCTTTGTTAGTGACGTCCGTTCATTTACAGTCTTTGATAGTAACGTCCGTTCATCTACAGTCTTTGTTAGTGACGTCACGTCTTTCTCAGTGGCATGTTCAGCGAGAACACCTAGAGAAATACGAGAAGTAAACACTTAATGTCAGACTATGGCACTTTTGTGGCACTGTTACAGTACCGTTACGGTAATGTTAATGTACTCTTACTGTACTTTTATGTTGCTGTTGTGGAACTGTTTGGTATTGTTATAGTACTGTTGCTTGTGGCACTGATATGGTATTGTTACAGTTTTTTTATGGTACTGTTGCAAGTTTGATATTGTATATTTAAAGTACTATTACGGTTAAATTATAATATGGTTGTTGCTGTTCTGTTATGATAATTTTGTGGTAATTTTATATACTTTTATGGAACTGTTATTTTTTTAAATGGTACTTTTGTGATGTACTGCAGGGTCTTGTCCAACTTATAATATTTATAGTCCCTCCCTTAAAAATTCCAGCTCAAATGCTAGACATAGACCTAAAACGTGGCTCTTATTCCAGAATATAAGTCATTCTCAAGCCTAAGCCCTAATGCTTATTCTTATTTCTTGCCAATCTCTTAATTCTGGCATTAATCTTGGTACAAACGTTAACCGTAAACACAATCTGAGACAAGACCTAACAACTTTCTCTTCTTTAAGCAATCCTAAATTTTACACATTCTTAAGCTTGGATGCAAATGCTACCTGTTGATCTACCTCTGATCACAATTATGAGACAAATACAAACCTACCAGCTATACTGAGAATGTATTTCCCAGATTGTGGCCACCCTAGAACCCAATAAACCAACCCACCAACATCTTGTATCAAGTCTAAAACTGAGAACAAAACACCAATGGGGTCTAAAACTAAGACCAAGACACCAATGTGGTCTAAAACTGAGACCAAGACACCAATGTGGTCTAAAACTAAGACCAAGTCACCAATGTGGTCTAAAACTAAGAACAAGTCACCAATGTGGTCTAAAACTAAGAACAAGTCACCAATGTGGCCTAAAACTGAGAACAAGTCACCAATGGGGTCTAAAACTGAGACCAAGACACCAATGGGGTCTAAAACTGAGACCAAGACACCAATGGGGTCTAAAACTAAGACCAAGTCACCAATGTGGTCTAAAACTAAGAACAAGTCACCAATGTGGTCTAAAACTGAGAACAAGACACCAATGTGGTCTAAAACTGAGAACAAGACACCAATGTGGTCTAAAACTGAGAACAAGACACCAATGGGGTCTAAAACTGAGACCAAGACACCAATGGGGTCTAAAACTGAGACCAAGTCACCAATGTGGTCTAAAACTAAGACCAAGTCACCAATGTGGTCTAAAACTGAGAACAAGTCACCAATGTGGCCTAAAACTGAGAACAAGTCACCAATGTGGTCTAAAACTGAGAACAAGTCACCAATGTGGTCTAAAACTGAGACCAAGACACCAATGGGGTCTAAAACTGAGACCAAGACACCAATGGGGTCTAAAACTGAGACCAAAACACCAATGGGGTCTAAAACTGAGACCAAGACACCAATGGGGTCTAAAACTGAGACCAAGACACCAATGAGGTCTAAAACTGAGACCAAGACACCAATGGGGTCTAAAACTGAGACCAAGACACCAATAGGATCGTAACAGACAAGTTCTATTATTACCATCAGTATCAGTGTCACTCCTGGTCGAGAAAGAGTAGTAATTTGTGTCGGGTGAGGTATGAGAAAGATGTGTGATGTGTGTCGGGTAAGATGTTATCGAGGAATGTTTTTTAATTGTCCCTGGTTTCAGCTAACCCAATACCTACAATTGTAAAACGGGTTTACGACAAAATCCCGAAAGACACTTGCATGAATGCTGTTAGCCCGAAGGCCGATTTCCCGAATAGACATTTGCCCGAATGCGACAAAGTTTTTTTATGGTACTGTTGCAAGTTTGATATTGTATATTTAAAGTACTATTACGGTTAAATTATAATATGGTTGTTGCTGTTCTGTTATGATAATTTTGTGGTAATTTTATATACTTTTATGGAACTGTTATTTTTTTAAATGGTACTTTTGTGATGTACTGCAGGGTCTTGTCCAACTTATAATATTTATAGTCCCTCCCTTAAAAATTCCAGCTCAAATGCTAGACATAGACGTAAAACGTGGCTCTTATTCCAGAATATAAGTCATTCTCAAGCCTAAGCCCTAACGCTTATTCTTATTTCTTGCCAATCTCTTAATTCTGGCATTAATCTTGGTACAAACGTTAACCGTAAACACAATCTGAGACAAGACCTAACAACTTTCTCTTCTTTAAGCAATCCTAAATTTTACACATTCTTAAGCTTGGATGCAAATGCTACCTGTTGATCTACCTCTGATCACAATTATGAGACAAATACAAACCTACCAGCTATACTGAGAATGTATTTCACAGATTGTGGCCACCCTAGAACCCAATAAACCAACCCACCAACATCTTGTATCAAGTCTAAAACTGAGAACAAGTCACCAATGTGGTCTAAAACTGAGAACAAGTCACCAATGTGATCTAAAACTGAGAACAAGTCACCAATGTGGTCTAAAACTGAGAACAAGTCACCAATGTGGTCTAAAACTGAGAACAAGTCACCAATGTGGCCTAAAACTGAGAACAAGACACCAATGTGGCCTAAAACTGAGAACAAGTCACCAATGTGGCCTAAAACTGAGAACAAGTCACCAATGTGGCCTAAAACTGAGAACAAGACACCAATGTGGCCTAAAACTAAGACCAAGACACCAATGTGGTCTAAAACTGAGAACAAGTCACCAATGTGGTCTAAAACTGAGAACAAGTCACCAATGTGGCCTAAAACTGAGAACAAGACACCAATGTGGCCTAAAACTGAGAACAAGTCACCAATGTGGCCTAAAACTGAGAACAAGTCACCAATGTGGCCTAAAACTGAGAACAAGTCACCAATGTGGCCTAAAACTGAGAAGAAGTCACCAATGTGGTCTAAAACTGAGAACAAGACACCAATGTGGTCTAAAACTGAGAACAAGACACCAATTGGGTCTAAAACTGAGACCAAGACACCAATGGGGTCTAAAACTAAGACCAAGTCACCAATGTGGTCTAAAACTAAGACCAAGTCACCAATGTGGTCTAAAACTGAGAACAAGTCACCAATGTGGCCTAAAACTGAGAACAAGTCACCAATGTGGTCTAAAACTGAGACCAAGACACCAATAGGATCGTAACAGACAAGTTCTATTATTACCATCAGTATCAGTGTCACTCCTGGTCGAGAAAGAGTAGTAATTTGTGTCGGGTGAGGTATGAGAAAAATGTGTGATGTGTTTCGGGTAAGATGTTATCGAGGAATGTGTTTTAATTGTCCCTGGTTTCAGCTAACCCAATACCTACAATTGTAAAACGGGTTTACGACAAAATCCCGAAAGACACTTGCATGAATGCTGTTAGCCCGAAGGCCGATTTCCCGAATGGACATTTGCCCGAATGCGACAAAGTACCAGTGATTGTTATTCTATGTACCTGTGATTGTTTTTTTTATACATCTGTGATTGTTAATGTACTACCTGTTATTGCAGTTCTACTATCTGTGATTGAAGTTCTACTACGTGTGATTGGTTCTACTAGCTGTGATTGTATATCTATACACCTGTGGCTGTAGTTCTATGTACCTGTGATTGCAGTTCTACTACCTGTGAGTGTAGTTCTACTACCCTTGATTGTAGTTATAATACCGATTGTAGTTTTACTACCTGTAATTGTAGTTCTACTACCTGTGATTGTAGTTCTACTACCTGTGATTGTAGATCTACTACCTGTGATTGTAGATCTACGCCTATTTACACATTTCAGATTGCGGTAATGTGATTCTAGGGACATAGATTCAGAAGAGATAGGAAGGTCACATATAATTTGCCTAGGTGTCACCGCCTGAAGAATGTTACTTGATTTAGTTCACTTCCAACCCAACTACTGAACGATGACAACAACATCAATTTAAAAAGAAAAACTTATCGCAAGCGCCCAAGCCTGTACTGGAGCAGAGTTTCATTCAAACAAGTTCTTCTCAAAAAGAAGGGGACCATTACAATTTCTTTTAGATGGGGGGGGGGGGGGGCACTGATTAAAGTATACATTTTATTTATAACATATGTTTTTACCACTTTGTCCCGTGGGATGATAGAAGTGCTAATGTCGTAGCCCTAGTAAGATGCCAAAAAGACGGTAAATTTCAAATAATTACTTCAACCACATCGATAAGAGCATAATGCTAGAGGTACTATGGCAACAGTTGATAGAATGAAAACAGACTTACAACAGACAAAAAGCAATGCTATTTAGATGAGTTTCATGGTTGGATTCCTGACTTACACAGACGTTGAAGAATACAGGTGATGGATTCCAGATGTTATTCAACTGTGAGGAATACAACAATGTTACAGAGCTGTAAATTTATTTCACGTTAGATAAATTAAAGTAAAAAAATTGCACGTGTCATGTTGCTTTTTGACATGTAAGAGGTTAAACAACCTCACATATCTCACATTAGGACTGGCTATATCGTGGTTTTTCCAAACTGTGGTCGCGACCCCCCCCCCCCTAGGGGCGCCACGGGCTTTCTGGGAGGTCGCCAACTGGTATACTAAACTCTAGCAATGAAAAAAAAACAACAACAAATATTTAAAAGAATATCTGAAATTCGGCTTTACAAACATCACTGGAAGTTATTAAATAAAGCACAATCAATGAACACTGTAAAAGTTGTTCTCAGTCAAAAACCTTTCACGCAATATGAGAAAATCTCATCAAATTCTGCATGTTGAAGATGGTGAAATTAAATCCAGTGCAGTAACGATGCAACAAATATCTCTGCCTAATAATACTATTCAGCGGCTTATAGCAGACTTGTCCGTAGATGTTAAAGGACAAATTTTAATGAAATCAAGCTTTCACTATTGTTTGCTTTTCAAGGTGAGGAATCAACAGACGTGAAATCGTGTTCGCAGTTGCTTGTCTTTGTGAAAAAAATTCATTCATATAATATCAAAGAAGGGTTGCTATTTTGGGAAGATATCATGGAGAACATAAAAACGTTTTTTTTAAATACTGGATGATCAAAACGGCTATATGGATAGTGCGCCATCTTTGGGTAAAAATCGGGCTTTCAGAAAACATTAAAATATTTAGCTCACTAAGCAAAGGGAATCCACAGCATGCCATCGCCAGCAAGACTCGATTGCTAATAAAAGTCATAAATTATATTAAATCTGGAGCCCTAAACATCCGTTTGTATAAAGAACTGTGCACAAACATGAATAAAGATCACGATGTTCTACACTACAGTACGCTGGCTGTCAAATGGAAATGTTGTGAATCGTGTTTTTGATATGAAATCTGAAATCAAGTTGTTCTCGGAAGTGCAAGGGAATCGAGACTTTTTGATATACTTTAACGACAAAGAGTGGTTGGAGAGAGTATCATACCTAGCAGATATATTCGAACATCAACATAAGCTTAACCTGTAGCTTCTGGGAAAATGAACGCATATTATATCTTTTCATGATTATCAAAACTGCAAAATTGGCGAAGAATAATAAATTTTGGATATATTGCCATGTTTGATAAATCTGATTGTGAGGTAAAAAATATATTAGAAAGATGGGATTTCTTGGCATCTTGAATCTCTTGGCATCGAACTGCAGCGTTGTCCCTGGGCTGAAAGAAGAAGAATATGCATTGACACGTTACCCATTTTCTGCTTCCATTGACATTGCGAGCATTCCCGATGAATCACAAGACTTAATTCTTAAATTTGCTGTATGATTCCGCGTCAGATGAGTTAAATGCCGGATATAATATTCTGCTTAATAAACACACCAGTCATTGTCCTTTACAGCTAATTTTTTCCGCAGAGACCAGTGCATGGCCTGGCCGGAAAGGCTGGTAGAGCTATAATTGTAACACATGCCATTCGAACAGACGAAAAATGACTTCCTGAAAAGCCCTTGTGTTGTCGACAGAAGGTTTTTTTTTTAATTCAAAGAATATCTTTTAAACCACCCTACGATGAACGATCATGAAGATTTACAGGATATTTAAACATTAGTAATAGATCGCATTGACTGACTAAAACTCAATTAGTCTAGCGACGCTACTGTCTACTCGTTTACTGATAATCAAACATGTTTAGGTCGGGTGTGTTTTAAATCATAACAAGCGAGAATAGTCTCAAAGGTATTTTCGTCGGGAATAACTCATGTGTGTGGTTTTATGTTAACAGTTTTTAAACAGAGAGCGATAACAGCCGATGTTATCAAAATAGCGGAAATGGCGCTTTGAAGTTTCTTTCATGGGGAATAACTCATGTGTGTGGTTTTATTTGAAAATAAAATAACTTGTCATTTAAACATTCAAACGGTCACTTAAAATTTACATAAAACAGAAGTCTGTGGGAAAATTAAATTAACTATGTGAGAGTAAATTTGAAGCCACCCCCACCTCCCTTTTTTATTCTGCCTCTGTCTGCCCAATGATCGCAAGAAGCAACTAATAAAGCGATGTCTTCGTACACCTGTTGGTCAAGCAATGCCCATGTACACCTGTTGGTCAAGCGATGCCTATGTACACCTGTTGGTCAAGCGATGTCTTTGTACACCTGTTGGTCAAGAGGTGCTCATATACACCTGTTGGTCAAGCGATGCCCATGTACACCTGTTGGTCAAACGATGCCTATGTACACCTGTTGGTCAAACGATGCCTATGTACACCTGTTGGTCAAGCGATGCCCATGTACACTTGTTGGTCAAGCGATGCCCATGTACACCTGTTGGTCAAGCGATGCCTATGTACACCTGTTGGTCAAGCGATGCCCATGTACACCTGTTGGTCAAGCGATGTTTTTGTACACCTGTTGGTCAAGCGATGTTTTTGTACACCTGTTGGTCAAGCGATGCCCATGTACACCTGTTGGTCAAGCGATGCCCATGTACACCTGTTGGTCAAGCGATGTCTTCGTACACCTGTTGGTCAAGCGATGCCCATGTACACATGTTGGTCAAGCGATGCCCATGTACACCTGTTGGTCAAGCGATGCCCATGTACACCTGTTGGTCAAGCGGTGCTCATATACACCTGTTGGTCAAGCGTAGCCCATGTACACCTGTTGGTCAAGCGATGCCCATGTACACCTGTTGGTCAAGCGGTGCTCATATACACCTGTTGGTCAAGCGATGCCCATGTACACCTGTTGGTCAAACGATGCCCATGTAACTTGTTGGTCAAGCGATGCCAATGTACACCTGTTGGTCAAGCGATGACACATCATTCTCTGATTCTCATGATGTTTTAACTCAAAAATATTTGTTTCTTGTTAGTGGCGGCCACTTTAACATTTGTCCTTATACAATCTTTGTTAACGGCGTCCTTTTATGTTCAGTATCAGTGTTTCGGTGGTATCGAGTCTATAAATAGCCATTGTCAATGGTGTCACGCTTGTCTACATTCTGTCAATGGTGTCATGTTTGTCTACATTCAGTCAATGGTGTCATGTTTGTCTACATTCTGTCAATGGTGTCATGTTTGTCTACATTCAGTCAATGGTGTCATGTTTGTCTACATTCAGTCAATGGTGTCATGTTTGTCTACATTCAGTCAATGGTGTCATGGTTGTCTACATTCAGTCAATGGTGTCATGGTTGTCTACATTCAGTCAATGGTGTCATGTTTGTCTACATTCAGTCAATGGTGTCATGGTTGTCTACATTCAGTCAATGGTGTCATGGTTGTCTACATTCAGTCAATGGTGTCATGGTTGTCTACATTCAGTCAATGGTGTCACGTTTGTCTACATTCAGTCAATGGTGTCATGTTTGTCTACATTCAGTCAATGGTGTCATGGTTGTCTACATTCAGTCAATGGTGTCATGTTTGTCTACATTCAGTCAATGGTGTCATGGTTGTCTACATTCAGTCAATGGTGTCATGGTTGTCTACATTCAGTCAATGGTGTCATGGTTGTCTACAGCCTGTCAATGGTGTCATGTTTGTCTACATTCAGTCAATGGTGTCATGGTTGTCTACATTCAGTCAATGGTGTCATGTTTGTCTACATTCAGTCAATGGTGTCATGGTTGTCTACATTCAGTCAATGGTGTCATGGTTGTCTACATTCAGTCAATGGTGTCATGCTTGTCTACAGCCTGTCAATGGTGTCATGGTTGTCTACATTCAGTCAATGGTGTCATGGTTGTCTACATTCAGTCAATGGTGTCACGTTTGTCTACAGTCTGCCAATTGCATCACTTGTAATTGTCTTGCTTGTTTAATCTCGTGTATTTGTTGAGAAATATATAATAGGAACCCCACGAATCACAGAACACTGAAAACATTTGAATGAAATCACATTCAAACACATGACATGTCGGCTTAATATCGACATAACCTTTAGGATAAAGTGTTCAATGCTACAGCTCTACTGACCAGTTGTCGTATCCTGGATATAGAACATAAGGTCATGGCAAGCGACGTTTTCTCTATCCTCAGCAGAACCTGTAGGTCAATGACCTAACATTGACACACCTGACCTGACCAGTTACTTTAACTGAGGCCTGTTGTCTGTAGCATTCAATACTAACTTATTTAATCTTAACACTAAAATATACCTATAAATTAATTATTAGGGTGTCTCCTACTGCTCTTATATAACACTACGGGAGATGACACATCTCGGTAAATACATACATTTAAATCTATTTTTAATTACTTAAAGTTTTTAAAGTAGAATAAAATCAAATAGAAAAAATATTTGCACACCAATTGAACGAAAAACAGTAAGTGTAAAATAGTTCGGAATATTATGAGTAATTTATAAATTCATATGCGTTTTTTTTTTTTGAGAAATCGGAAGTAGCGAAAATTACTACTTTCGGTAAACGGAAATTAATCAAAATGCGATAGAATGCAAAGAATAAGATCCTTTACTTACATGTGAAATTTCGTTAATCTAACTAAAACAGTACTCAAAGTTATAGGCTTTTGAAGAATTGAAAGTAGAATAAATTCCACTTCCATTTATTGGAAATCGCCGAAAAATGTATACAGAAATACAAAATTGATATAATACTTATAGTCTATATAAAATTTATTCAAACTAGCTGTAATGGTACTCAAGTTATCGTGTTTACAGACACACACAGACATACGGACAGAATTGCAAAGTACAGTTTTTCAGACTGGAAAACCAACAATTTTGATATATCAGGATTTATATTGAACCATGTTTAAACAATTCTGAAAAATTACGTCATAACCCCCTTCCCCTACCCTTATTTCTATGGCATGAAAACGTCTCCAGTGTCATGCACGATAGGAAGCTTCCCTTTTTGTTATCTATGCCTTAACGTCCGATTTGACTTTCGGTGACTCTTAGTCCCGACGTCCGCCTTTACGTACATTTTTGGCCGGCTTTGGTTTGTCTGCCTTAACTTTAGGTTCATCTTCGGCCGGCTTTGGTTTGTCTGCCTTAACTTTAGGTACATCTTTGGCTGGCTTTGGTTTGTCTGCCTTAACTTTAGGTACTTCTTCGGCCGGCTTTGGTTTGTCTGCCTTAACTTTAGGTACATCTTTGGCCGGCTTTGGTTTGTCTGCCTTAACTTTAGGTACATCTTCGGCCGGCTTTGGTTGGTCTGCCTTAACTTTAGGTACATCTTCGGCCGGCTTTGATTTGTCTGCCTTAACTTTAGGTACATCTTTGGGTGGCTTTGGTTTGTCTGCCTTAACTTTAGGTACATCTTTGGCCGGCTTTGATTTGTCTGCCTTAATTTTAGGTACATCTTTGGTCGGCTTTGATTTGTCTGCCTTAACTTTAGGTACATCTTCGGCCGGCTTTGGTTGGTCTGCCTTAACTCTAGGTACATCTTCGGCCGGATTTGATTTGTCTGCCTTAACTTTAGGTACATCTTTGGCCGGCTTTGATTTGTCTACCTTAACTTTAGGTACATCTTTGGCCGGCCAAGGTTTGTCTGCTTTAACTTTAGGTACATCTTCGACCGGCTTTGGTTGTTCTGCCTTAACTTTAGGTACATCTTCGGCCGGCTTTGGTTTGTCTGCCTTAACTTTAGGTACATCTTCGGCCGGCTTTGGTTTGTCTGCCTTAACTTTAGGTACATCTTTGGCCTGCTTTGGTTTGTCTGCCTTAACTTTAGGTACATCTTCGGCCGGCTTTGATTTGTCTGCCTTAACTTTAGGTACATCTTTGGCCGGCTTTGGTTTGTCTGCTTTAACTTTAGGTACATATTCCGCCGTCTTTGGTTGGTCTGCCTTAACTTTAGGGACATCTTCGGCCGGCTTTGGTTTGTCTGTCTTAACTTTAGGTACATCTTTGGCCGGCTTTGGATTGTCTGCCTTAACTCTAGGTTCATCTTCGGCCGGCTTTGATTTGTCTGCCTTAACTTTAGGTACATCTTCGGCCGGCTTTGGTTTGTCTGCCTTAACTTTAGGTACATCTTTGGCTGGCTTTGGTTTGTCTGCCTTAACTTTAGGTACTTCTTCGGCCGGCTTTGGTTTGTCTGCCTTAACTTTAGGTACATCTTCGGCCGGCTTTGGTTTGTCTGCCTTAACTTTAGGTACATCTTTGGCCGGCTTTGGTTTGTCTGCCTTAACTTTAGGTACATCTTCGGCCGGCTTTGGTTGGTCTGCCTTAACTTTAGGTACATCTTTGGCCGGCTTTGGTTTGTCTGCCTTAACTTTAGGTACATCTTTGGCCGGCTTTGGTTTGTCTGCCTTAACTTTAGGTACATCTTTGGCCGGCTTTGATTTGTCTGCCTTAACTTTAGGTACATCTTTGGTCGGCTTTGATTTGTCTGCCTTAACTTTAGGTACATCTTCGGCCGGCTTTGGTTGGTCTGCCTTAACTCTAGGTACATCTTCGGCCGGCTTTAATTTGTCTGCCTTAACTTTAGGTACATCTTTGGCCGGCTTTGATTTGTCTACCTTAACTTTAGGTACATCTTTGGCCGGCTTTGGTTTGTCTGCTTTAACTTTAGGTACATCTTCGACCGGCTTTGGTTGTTCTGCCTTAACTTTAGGTACATCTTTGGCCGGCTTTGGTTTGTCTGCCTTAACTTTAGGTACATCTTTGGTCGGCTTTGATTTGTCTGCCTTAACTTTAGGTACATCTTCGGCCGGCTTTGTTTTGTCTGCCTTAACTTCAGGTACATCTTTGGCCGGCTTTGGTTTGTCTGCCTTAACTTTATGTACATCTTTGGCCTGCTTTGGTTTGTCTGCCTTAACTTTAGGTACATCTTCGGCCGGCTTTGGTTTGTCTGCCTTAACTTTAGGTACATCTTTGGCCGGCTTTGGTTTGTCTCCTTTAACTTTAGGTACATCTTCCGCCGTCTTTGGTTGGTCTGCCTTAACTTTAGGGACATCTTCGGCCGGCTTTGGTTTGTCTGTCTTAACTTTAGGTACATCTTTGACCGGCTTTGGTTTGTCTGCCTTAACTTTAGGTTCATCTTCGGCCGGCTTTGATTTGTCTGCCTTAACATTAGGTACATCTTCGGCCGGCTTTGGTTTGTCTGCCTTAACTTTAGGTACATCTTTGGCCGGCTTTGATTTGTCTGCCTTAACGTTAGGTACATCTTTGGCCGGCATTGGTTTGTCTGCCTTAACTTTAGGTACATCTTTGGCCGGCTTTGATTTGTCTGCCTTAACGTTAGGTACATCTTCGGCCGGCTTTGGTTTGTCTGCCTTAACTTTAGGTACATCTTTGGCCGGCTTTGGTTTGTCTGCTTTAACTTTAGGTACATCTTCCGCGGGCTTTGGTTTGTCTGCCTTAACTTTAGGGACATCTTCGGCCGGCTTTGGTTTGTCTGTCTTAACTTTAGGTACATCTTTGGCCGGCTTTGGTTGGTCTGCCTTAACTTTAGGGACATCTTCGGCCGGCTTTGGTTTGTCTGTCTTAACTTTAGGTACATCTTTGGCCGGCTTTGGTTTGTCTGCCTTAACTTTAGGTACATCTTCGGCCGGCTTTGGTTTGTCTGCCTTACTTTTAGGTACATCTTTGGCCGGCTTTGGTTTGTCTGCTTTAACTTTAGGTACATCTTCCGCCGTCTTTGGTTGGTCAACCTTAACTTTAGGGACATCTTCGGCCGACTTTGGTTTGTCTGTCTTACCGTTAGGTACATCTTTGGCCGGCTTTGGTTTGTCTGCCTTAACTTTAGGTACATCTTCGGCCGGCTTTGATTCGTCTGCTTTAACTTTAGGTACATCTTCGGCCGGCTTTGGTTTGTCTGCCTTAACTTTAGGTACATCTTTGGCCGGCTTTGATTTGTCTGCCTTAATTTTAGGTACATCTTTGGCCGGCATTGGTTTGTCTGCCTTAACTTTAGGTACATCTTTGGCCGGCTTTGATTTGTCTGCCTTAACTTTAGGTACATCTTCGGCCGGCTTTGGTTTGTCTGCCTTAACTTTAGGTACATCTTTGGCCGGCTTTGGTTTGTCTGTTTTAACTTTAGGTACATCTTCCGCCGGCTTTGGTTGGTCTGCCTTAACTTTAGGGACATCTTCGGCCGGCTTTGGTTTGTTTGTCTTAACATTAGGTACATCTTTGGCCGGCTTTGGTTTGTCTGCCTTAACTTTAGGTACATCTTTGGCCGGCTTTGGTTTGTCTGCATTAACTTTAGGTTCATCTTCGGCCGGCGTTGGTATGTCTGCCTTAACTTTAGGTACATCTTTGGCCGGCTTTGGTTTGTCTGCCTTAACTTTAGGTACATCTTCGGCCGGCTTTGGTTTGTCTGTCTTAACTTTAGGTACATCTTTGGCCGGCTTTGGTTTGTCTGCCTTAACTTTAGGTACATCTTCGGCCGGCTTTGATTTGTCTGCCTCAACTTTAGGTACATCTTCGGCCGGCTTTGGTTTGTCTGCCTTAACTTTAGGTACATCTTTGGCCGGCTTTGATGTGTCTGCCTTAACTTTAGGTACATCTTTGGCCGGCATTGGTTTGTCTGCCTTAACTTTAGGTACATCTTCGGCCGGCTTTGGTTTGTCTGCCTTAACTTTAGGTACATCTTCGGCCGGCTTTGGTTTGTTTGTCTTAACTTTAGGTACATCTTTGGCCGGCTTTGGTTTGTCTGCCTTAACTTTAGGTACATCTTTGGCCGGCTTTGGTTTGTCTGCCTTAACTTTAGGTACATCTTCGGCCGGCTTTGGTATGTCTGCCTTAACTTTAGGTACATCTTTGGCCGGCTTTGGTTTGTCTGCCTTAACTTTAGGTACATCTTCGGCCGGCTTTGGCTTGTCTGCCTTAACTTTAGGTACATCTTTGGCCGGCTTTGGTTTGTCTTCCTTAATTTTAGGTACATCTTCGGCCGGCTTTGGTTTGTCTGTCTTTACTTTAAGTAAATCTTTAGCCAGCTTTGATTTGTCTGCCTTAACTTTAGTTACATTTTCGGCCAGCTTTGATTTGTCTGCCTTAACTTTAGGTACATCTTCGGCCAGATTTGATTCGCTTGACTTCACTTTAGGTGCATCTCGGGCCAGCTTAGATTCGTCTACCTTTACTTTACGTTCATCTTTGACCAACTTTGATTGGATACTAATTGTAGCTTCCGGTTCAGGTCCCTGTACAACATGCTCCTGATGGCCATCACGTTTGGCCACATTCAAAAGTTGGCTCAGCTTGTTCTCAATGGCTTGTGTGACGAGGATGCCTGGAATAAGACAGGTTGAAAACATTTACAGGACAGACTATGGAAAATTTGTTGTGCTGTTATAGTACCGTTACGGAAATTTTAATGCACATTTAGGTTTTTTTTTATGGTGTTGTTGTGGAACTGTTAGGCAAAGTTATAGTGTTGTTATAGTACTGTCAAGGTACTGTTATAGTACTGCTATTGTACTATTATAGTACTATTACGGTACTGTCATAATATGGTTGTAGCTGTTCTGTTGTGATAATGTTGTGTACTATTTAAGCTTTTTAAAGTCTGTCAGGGTCTTGTCCAAGTTATAATATTCGAATCCTTCCCTTAAAATTCAAGCCCCAATGCTAACCATATACCTAACTCTGGCTCTAATTCCAGATTTTAAGATATTCTTATGTCTAAGCCAAATGTTATACTATGCCAATCACAGCTATGTGAATCGTGTGATGTATGAAAAAAAGAGTTGTGATGTGAATCGTGTGATGTATGAAAAAAAGAGCTGTGATGTGAATCGAGTGATGTATGAAAAAAAGAGTTGTGATGTGAATAGTTTAATGTATGAAAAAAAAGAGTTGTGATGTAAGTCAGGTGATGTATAAGAAAGGGTTGTGATGTGTGTATGGTGATTTATGAGATAGGGCTGTGATGTGAGTCAGGTTATGTATGAGAAAGAGTTGTGATGTGTGTCGTGTGAGATATAATCGAGAAAAGTGTTTTAATTGTCCCTAGTTTCAGCTACTTACATTACCCAATATTGTTCCTGTGATTGTTGTTCTTCTACCATTGATACCCACTACCTGTGATTGATGTTCTAAAACCTGTGGTTGTAGTTCTACTACCATTGATTGTAGTTCTACTACAATTGATTTTAGTTCCACTACCAGTGGTTTTAGTTCTACCACCAGTGATTGTAGTTCTACTATCTGTGCTTGTAGATCTACTACTTGTGATTGTAGTTCTATTACCTGTGATTGTAGTTCTACTACCTGTGATTGTAGTTCTACTATCTGTGATTGTAGTTCTCTACACCTGTGTTGAGGGAATGTGATTCTAAGGAAACGATTCAGAAATGATAGGAAGGGTACATAATATTAGCCTAGGCGTCACTGCCTAAAGAGTGTTACTTGGTTTAGTCCACCCCAACCCAACTACTGAACGATGACAAAGAACACACTTCAAAGGAAAAACTTGTGGAAAGCGTCCCTACACATGTTTACCAAGGGAGGGCATAGGACCATTTCAACTTACGGGTGGCGAGTGGGCAATTGATTATATCATACATTTTATATATAACTTATATTTTTTTACCATTTTGTTCCTAGGGATGGTAGACGTGCTCAAGGGGGGGTCCCGTCCCCCCCTGGAGAGATGCCAGATAAAAACCGAAGGCACGAAGGATAAGACCAGACATGAGCAAGTTCTACAACATCACTGATGAGAGTATAAAGCAAACGTTACTATAGCAACCATTGATAGAATGAAAACTGACTTACAGCAGACAAGAAGCAGTGCTGTGTGGATGAGCTTCATGGTTGGATTCCTGACTTCCACAGACGTTGAAGGGTGCAAGTGTTGGATTCCCGACCTATCCAAACATTGAATTCCTGACGTTATCGATATTGTGATGAATGTTACAAAGCGGTTAATTTATTTAGCGTTATAGTTCATTAAAGTAAGTTAAACTGGAAGTGATCTTACATAAACTTTCTCAAATATTCGTATATAACACTACGGGAGATGGAACATCTCGATATAGACATGATTATTAATCCATTTTTAATTACTTAAACTTTTAAAAATATAATAAAATCTGAAAAAAAAAGAATTGCACACCATGTGAACGCCATAAAATATTTGTATAATAGTTCGGAATATTATTAGTACTTTATAAATTCACATGCGTTTTTTTTTTTTTTAGAAATTGGAAATAGCGAAAATTACAACTTCTGGTCAAATGAAACTACTCAAATTTTACACTTATAAGTGAAATTTTATTAATCTATCTGAAACAGTACTCAACTTATGGGCTTTTGAAAAATTGAAAGTAGAATAAGTTGCACTTCTGGTTATCAGAAATCAATGAAAATTTGAAACTGAATTATAAAAGTGATATAATACTTATGTATGAAATTTCATCCACCTAGCTGCGACGGTACTCAAGTTATATTATGTTTACAGACACACATATACACTCACACACACACAGACATACGGACAGAATGGCATGGTCTAGTTTTTACGAATACATTACGCATAAAACGCCAAAATTTAGAAAAATCTGGAATTATATTTTTTGCCCGATTAAATGAAGTTCCCTAACCTCCGGATGTGATGAAGGGCTGATGTGAAAAAGGTGTAAACTCTTAAAATTTCATGTGATTCTTGTGCACGATTACAATACTTTCTCTATAATCTGTATACGAGAAAGTTAAAATGTAGAACTTGTCTTGTGCCTTTTCCAGCGGAGAGGTGGAACAACCTCACATATTGCACATCTATATTGCTTATATTTCAGTTTCAAAAGAGAGGTGGAACTACCTCACATATTGCACATCTATATTGCTTATATTTCAGTTTCAAAAAAGAGGAGGAACTACCTCACTGATCGTATGTATATAAATGGCCTATATCTCAGTCTAATATAAGTAAAAACATAGATTGCCCCTTTCTCAAATAAAGCTATGACAAAAATCTAAATCTAACATCTAGATGTCCCTTTCCTGTGATTGTTGTTCTATGTTTATGGGATTCTACTACCTGTGATTGTTGTTTTATGTACCGCGGATTGTATTTCTTCTACCTGTGATTGTAGTTCTACTACCTGTAATTGTAGCTCTATGTACCAGTGATTGTGGTTCTATGTACCAGTGATTGTAGCTCTATGTACTAGGTATTGTAACTTTGTGTACCCAAACGAGCTTAGTCTCAAATGTATTAGTTTGGCCAATTAAATATTTGAAAAATCATGCATCGTGTAATTGAAATTGATAATTAATATGGTTATAAAATCCTGATTGTTTAGTATTGTTTCGGACTTAAACAAAAAACAAAACAATAATAATTTTCTAATTTATTTTTACTTTCTCATTTATACGAAATAGGGCCTATATCGTGCAAAAAAAAAAAATCGAGATTTTTGCAAATCTCGACGTTTTACACCTCTCTAAGTCGGAAAAACATAAATTTGCAATCTTGTACGTATGGATTTGTGTGTGTGTGTGTGTGTGTGTGTGTGTGTAAACACGATAACATGAGTACCGTTACAGCTAGGTTGATGAAATTTCATATATAAGTACTTTATCAAAATCGTAGATCCGTATCAACTTTTAAGCGATTTCCGATAACCGAAAGTAGAGCTTTTTCTTCTTTGAATTTATCAAAAGCCTATACCTTGAGTAGTATTCCAGATAGATAAATGAAATTTTACATGTAAGTAAAAGATCTAATATTCTGCCGTCTTTCAAATTTTGAGTAATTTCCGTTGACCGGAAGTAGTAATTTTTCCTCTTTCGGATTTCTCAAAAAATCACAAGAACTTGATTACCCTTACAGCTAGGTTGAAGAAATTTCATAAATAATTATTATATCAAAATCGTAGATCCGTATCAACTTTTGAGTGATTTCCGATAAACGGAAGGGGAAATTTTTCTACTTTGAATTTTTCAAAAGCCTATACCTTGAGTACTATTTCAGATAGACAAATGAAATTTCACATGTAAGTAAAAGTTTTAATTCTCTGCCATCTATCAAATTTTGAGTAAAATTCCGTCAACAGGCAGTAGTAATTTACGCTTTTTCCGATTTCTAAAAAAAAGCAAGTGAATTTACAAAGTAGGCCTACTAATTATATCCCGCACTATTATGCACATTTTATTTGGCGTGCGATTCTTTGTTTCGACGAGATTCTATTCTATTATAAAAAGTTTAAGTTATTAATAATGGATTAAAATGGATTAAAAATATTGTCCATGCCCCGAGTTGCTATCCCCCGTAGTGTTATATTAGAGAATTAGAATTTTCGAGAAGGTTTAGGGGAGATCACTCCCTGTTGATTTTTAATTATTTTTACGCGCTAAGAAGTAAAAAAAAAATTAAGAAATAAGAAATAACGAATTTTATCCGTGTCACTATATATATATATATATATATATATATATATATATATATATATATATATATATATATATATATATATATATATAATTAAGATAACAACATTTACAAACATCTCACCATACCTTTCTTCAAAGTCCTACTGTTGTAAACGTGTTAGGACTATGATGTCGCTTGTCTGATCTGACAAAGGACCCGTTGAACACAAAGGAGAAAAAAAGCATCTAAGTTCACTTAAAACATTCATTTAGGTTGTAAGAAACCCCATTAATCGATCAGAGTTAATGTGTTATGGCTTTAACTCTTTTTTTTCTATCTAGTGAGATAAATCTAGCGTCCAGGTCATGTTTTATGTCTTATTTATTGAAAGCATAAAAAGAGCGTCACTAACCGACCTGTCACTTTAAACAAATAAACCTAACATTCAAAACAACTCCAACCTAATGCGTTCCTTCTCAGACCCCCCCCCCCCCCATCCCTACTTTTTAAAAATCCACCATTGTCTGTTCGATGATCGCCAGGATATGAGGGGCAACTAAGAAATCGATGGCAATGTACAACACTACAACTGACGCAAAGTTCTCTGATTCTCAAGATGTTTTAACTCAAAAATATTTCGTTCTTGTCAATGGCGTCCACTTTTACATTCGTCCTTATACAGCCTTTGCTAATGTCGTCCTTTTATCTACAGCATCGGTGTTTCGGTTGTGTCGAGTTTATAAATAGTCAATGTCAATTGCGTCACGTCTATCTATATTCTGTCAATGGTGTCATGTTTGTCTACAGCCTTTCAATGGTGTCATGTTTGTCTACAGCCTGTCAATGTTGTCAAGTTTGTCCACATTCTGTCAATGGTGTCTAGTTTGTCTGATGTCTGTCAATTGCGTCACTTCTAATTGTCTTGCATGATTAATATCGTGTATTTGTTGAGAAATATATAACAGAACACCACGAATCACAGAACACTGGAAATATTTTAATATAAGCAAGCAAGTTTAAATCACATTCAAACACATGACATGTCGGCGTAATATCGACATAATCTTAAGGATAAAGTGTCCAATCCAAGTGAGCAAATGACCAGTTGTCGTATCCTGGCTAGAGAACTTAAGGTCTCGGCGTGCGACGTTTTCTCAGCTGAGCCTGCAGGTCAATGACCTGACATAGACCTACCTGCAGAGGTGTAGCGACCCTTCCCGGCGCCCGGGTACAAACTTTTCGATTTGTACCCCCCCCCTCCTCAAGATTTCGATTTGCACCCCTCCCTCTCAAACGTTCGATTTGCACCCCCCCTCAAGATTTCGATTTGCACCCCCCCCCCTCAAACTTTCGATTTGCAACCCCCTCAACCTTTCAATTTATTTTTCCAACCAATTTTGGCGCCCCCTAAGGTCGGCGCCCGGGGACATATGTCCCCACCCCTCCGCCCCCCCCCCTCGCTACGGTACTGCCTACCTGACCTAACCAGTTACTATAACCGAGGCCTGTTGTCTGTAGCATTCAATATCTATAATATAAGCGGGCTGAGCGTGTGTCAGTCCGTCATCGCTATAGCTTTTGGAACCATATTAGGGGTCGGCGTGGTCGAGTCGGTAAAGCTCATGGTTGCTAAACCGAAAAGTCTCGAGTTCGAACCCTCGGGCAGATGAGGCTCGTTAGCTGGGGACAGCCACTCTTCTAGGAGAGACAACTCCAAAATTAAACAACTGCTGCCTTGTAGTTTGTTCTTGGTTGGACAAAGGCTATGGAAGCAAATCCAAAAAGAAAAGCAGGCTGAAATCGGAGTCAATGGCCTCAATGGCGCATAACCAGTTGACACGTAACGCTTAATTGTGTTGGAGGCGTGGCAGATAAATCTCGATCCCCTTCAACACTAATAATTAAGAACGAAGAAGAAGAAGAAGAAAGGAACCATAAAAGTAAACATCGCACCATGCTGTGCTTATCAGTGCACCGCAGTGTCTTATTATAAGAAATAGAGTAGGGTTTGTTTATATAACGACATAGAGCTATTTTATAATTGCCACTGTTTTTACTTTTTTTGCATAACGTAAAGAAAATATTAAATACACGCACACTGCTAAAACATATTAAAAGTATTAATGTCAAATATCATTTTCGTTTATATTTCCAGAAAAAGTGGCTACATTTCAATAACATAATAACAGTACGGTAGAAAAATCAAATTAATTTAACTCTTTTTTCTAATTTTGACAAAGGAGGTAATTTAAAAATACATTAAACTCACGCTAATAAAAAATGTGAATGCAAATATACGTTCGTCATAGAAGGAATTAGTGTTGCAATAATATAATTAGCAAAATGTGAATGCAAATTATTCGAATGTGTAAGAGGAAATTATTGTTTGAAAATAATAATTAGCATGGATTGATAAAAGGCATCTTTTATTTATTTTATTCACTAAATGTAGGCCCTACTGTTTATTACTAAGACTTATAATTTTTAATCAACTATTCAGCACTATTATAGATGCGTCATCACGTTCATTAGGTGCGCAATGGTTTGTAAATTTTTAAAATTTAAAGTACTGGAAAAAAAATGCGTGAATGGCGTCAACTTGTTTACTTCCGGAATTGATGTCAACTTTCTTTCATAGTTTTTAGTGTTTTTATTCACTATTTAATCCAAATAAATCTAAGGGAAGTACTACTCATCCATTAGGGTTGAGAATGTAGTTTAATACTAATTTACTAGCCGGTTCTTATTGTGATATTTTAAGTTTTTATATTATTGTCTCATCCATTGTTAAAATGTAAACCGGATATCTATATTCTTAGTTGTTGTAGATCTACTGATGATTCGTTTTCTTTTTCATCTATTTCTACTGATGTCAGCATGATATTCTAATATTACTGGTGAGTGAAAATGTTAGGGACTGGCGTTGTCACCAGAAGCAGCAGAGCTAAGAAGTATCGTTTAAATAAAGAAAAAGCGATATAAAAAAAGATTGCTAACATTTGTGCAGCGGATGATATTCATTTTCAAAAGAAAGATGGAGGACAATGCGTTATCATTGCCTTTAGAAACTCAATTAGCTATGAAAAAGTAAAAAGAATCTTCAAAACTAAATATGCTGGTGTTGTTGAGGAAAGAAGGGATGATGATGGCGCCAATGTTGAAGATAATTATAAATTACCAGGGCTGTCTGTCCATCTGTACCACACGAATAACAAAATTATGGTACAGGGAAAATCTAACGTTGTGTCTGTTTGGGTGGATTCGGAATTTTGCTGTATTCTAAATAACCTAATTACAACAGACAAAGCTGTCGACATGCCTCTACCCATGTCGCCGCCACTATCACTGTCACCACCACCTTCACTGTCCCCACCCAGAGTATTGGAGCTACCCATTTCACAGCCCATGATTATGTCTGCTTCCAACAGTGACAATCAATGTGCAGAGGATACGATCAATACCAATCCGTTAGCTGGTGTAACACCTATAAATAACTATACATTTTCATCAAACCTATCTCAACCAACTGATTTGCTTAGTCCAAAAATATCATTTCTTCAAACCACACAACTGGATAATAACTTAAGATCGTTTATTCTTAACGAGATCACCTGTGTTAAAAAAGCTTTTAAAGCGGAGAAATTGCTGTTTAACAGCCAACTAGAACAACTCCGAGTCGAAAACGCTGTCTTAAGGGATGAAGTCAAGAGACTATCTAATGAAGTGCATAGCTGCAAAGATATACACGTTAACCTTAAGAAGCGTTTGGTGGATCAAGAAAATGTTTCTGCGTCACTAAAGAAACACCTCACAACCAAGAATCCCTCTTGCAGCACAATATCCACCTCAACATGTGAGGATAATTATCAACTAATAAATGAAACAAAAATCACATCGGCAGGCATCATGCAAGAAGCTCCGTTCCCAATCCCTGTTAAAATTACACAACGTGATGACAGAGCGCGAATCAAACCATCGGAACATTCGAGTCCCAGCACCCTGCAACGACCACGAACTAAAAGCAATTCTACACAATACAGCGTCCCAACGGTCAAGGCTGTTCATGTCCCTGTTGTCCAACGCTCTACTCACTATGCCACTAATAGAGATAGCACACAACATGTCGCCGCCCCCTACACCAACCAAACAACGAAACACCATCTGATCCTTGGTGACTCTACACTTAAAGGTCTCCATCCTGATCAAATGGCCACGGATCATTACGAGCGTGTATCGGTAATAGCGCTGCCTGGGGCAAATTTTGAAAAAATTAGGGACGTTATTAGTAGCCGATCACGTGACTCTAATACCACAACTGTAACCTTACATTGTGGTGTCAACGACAGTCTATCAAACGTCAGGCTGTCACAAGCTAATATGCTAGAAATTGTGAGAAGTATCACTCACAAATTTCCCAACGCAACAATCCGATTTTCATCCATCGTACCCCCATGTCGGGGCAAGGGTAGGCAGTTGATAGATATAAATAATAGATTTTTACAGTCTTTCTGCATTAGTTATAAATACTGTTTTATAAACAATACACCTTTTTTCACTGCGAAGTCAGGTGCCCCGAGACAACGCTTGTACAGTGACAGTATTCATTTGACTAAAATTGGAAGCAGCATTCTCGCTAAAAATATAAAGTATCCCCAAAGAGCCGTCAGCTTAACAGATAAAGACCATGTGCAACTTTCAAACGTAAAAGGTACAACGTCTGATTTGGTTTCGACTGTTGATTTGCTTCCAACAATATCTTCAGATCAATTGAACTCTAGCCCAGGCTTACATCACTTAATGGGCTTTAGCCCTTTGTTGCTTCATCAAGCTCTAATGTTGTCGCTTAAGCGCCTTCCTGGAACCTAACTTTTTTCACTTACTATTTACTAGTTTAGCTCACTGTACTATTTTAATTATAGTGAAGGCAGTGTGAAGAGCAGCGAGTGTTTGTTTATTGGATGACAAAGCGTGTAATTGTAAGACAATTATATTGATTCTGTTTAATTAGTTCATTATATTGATTTTTGTTTATAACATCTCTTATTCATTGATATTTTATTATCTTTATGCATTGTCTATTTTCATCATCCTGGCCCTCACAAAGTGGGCTAAAATTGGGCCATTTAAATATTTTCCACATATTTAATAAACACCATGAAGTTCTAAAAATTTTAAACAATTCCAACAATCCTTTCCATATCTTTGGTTTCTCTGAAACTCGATTACAATCTTTTATAAATGATGTTGAGATATCCGTCTCTGATTATAACCTAATACGCCGAGACCCATCCTTACACAAAGAAACTGGCCTTTGTGTCTATGTCCACTCCTCAATTCGTTTCAAGTACAGGATGGATCTGTCAACGGACAATATAGAATGTATTTGGATTGAACTCGAAAAAAGCAAACACCATCCGGCCATTTTAATTTGCTTCCTTTATAGAAATCCCTGTGAAAACATGGATTGGTATGATCGTTTTTGCTCCATGATGGATACCGTTTTATCTACTAACAATGAATATATCATATTGGGAGATTTTAATATAAATTTATTAAAACCTCAAGGATATTGGCAAGATATTATTGATTCTTTGAATCTTAAACAATTTGTGCACACGGCTACCAGGGTAAATGATAAATCAAGTACAATAATTGACCACATCTACGCATCACCTGACTGCAACCTAATAGAGGTCTGTGTCCCCTCTTGTGGTGTTAGTGACCACTTCCCTGTTTGTTGTACTTTTTCGACAAAAAGATTATGTGTACCTTCGCGGCAACACATAACTATAAGTTATCGCTCTTTTAGAAAATTTAATGAAAATCTTTTTCTTTCGGATTTATTGGCTGCCCCCTTCTGCAATGTATACAATTATAATTGTCCCGATCTTGCCATTTCTGAATGGCTGCGTATTTTCTATACTATATATGACAAACATATTCCTAAAATCTCTAAAAGAGTTAAGACTACATACAAACCTTCTTGGTTTAACAACAATATCGAATCTGCAATTAATAAAAGAGACTGGCTTAAACGTTATGGAACTTCTGAGGACTTTTGTAGGCAGCGAAATTATGTCAAACTGCTCGTGCGTAGGTCGAAGAAGGAGTATTTTAATAAGCTGCTGTCAGGGAAACCTAATTCCAAATCTATCTGGACTGCTATAAATCAAATAATTAGAAAAAAACGCACATGTAATACAGCTGGACATTGCCAGATATCTGCTGATGACTTTAACAATCATTTTATATCATCTGTAGCGCTCAACACAGATGCTGATTACACAATCAGTGAGGAGCTTAAAAAATTTTGTAATTCTGCTCACCGTGGTAGGACAGAGCTGATCATTCCGATTCTCACTGTTCATGAAGTTTATGTTAGCCTAAGATCTCTTAAACCGTCTTCAACAACTTCGTTTGATGATATTTCTAATAATGTATTGAAGATTTCAGCTCCAATAATTTCCGAAGTTTTAACCTATGTCTATAACCTCTGTATTGCCAAGCATTATTACCCGACACATTTTAAGCATGCTAAGGTTATACCACTACACAAAAAAGGTAACATCCAAGATGCTAATAACTACAGGCCAATTTCTATACTTTCTTCCCTCTCCAAGCCACTAGAAATACATATAAACAAATGCATTTCATATTACCTAGAAAAGTTCAAGCTTTTCCATAGTAATCAGTCTGGGTTTAGAAAGTTTCATTCTTGTCACACTGCTCTGATTAAGATGAATGAAAACTGGCTTATAAATATTAACAAAAACCTACTCTGTGGCTCGCTGTTTGTCGATTTCAGAAAAGCCTTTGATTCTATTGATCACACCATACTTCTTAAAAAACTAATTCCATACAAATTCCACGACTTTACAGTTAGGTTACTTCACTCCTTTTTATCTAACCGATCTCAACGCGTGTTTCACCTTAATACCATCTCTTCACAGAAATATGTTAATATAGGGGTTCCACAGGGCTCAATCTTAGGTCCTTTACTTTTTTCTTTATACATTAATGATCTTCCATTACATATTGACGCTGGTCAGTGCGAGATGTTCGCTGATGATACTTCTTTGCATGTTTTGCAGACAGTGCTGAGTCACTCAGTTACAAACTTCAAACATGTGCCAATCAGCTTGCAACTTGGACAAAATTTAACAAAATGAAACTTCACCCCGATAAAACCAAGTCAATGTTTATTACAACTCACCAGAAACGCCTTCGTCTTCCATCCACCGCATTAAACATTACTATAGACAATTCAAACATTGAACAGGTAGACAGTTACAAATGCCTAGGATTGTTTATAGATCACAACCTCACTTGGTCTGACCATATTCATTTTCTAAGAATGTCCTTATTAAAGACAACCTTTCAGTTAGCAAGGATAAAGAACTTTCTCAACTATAGGAGCAGGCTGGTTTTTTATGAGGCTTTTATTCAATCCAGGTTGGATTATGCTTCTGTAGTGTGGAGCGGCAGCTTTATATCTAAGCAGCGTCCTCTTCTTTCTTTACAAAAAAGGGCTATAAAACTGGTTACTGGCTTGTCTAGTAGTCTGGATTCTTTTCTTACAACTAAAATACTTCCATTAAATAAAAAGATAATATATACTAAATCAATTTTCTTATATAAAATATTCCACGAAACAGCCCCCTCTTACTTATCAGATCTATTTTCTTTTAACATAAAATTAAATCGTCGTCTCAATTTACCATTCCCTTATTCAACCTTTTTCCAAAAACATAGCTTCGCCTACTCTGGTTCTAATTTGTGGAACAATCTTCCTAATAAAATAAAGCTATCTAGATCTGAAAATATATTCAAATCTAAATTAAAACTAAAATTATTTAATGACCTAACTGACTCATTGTAACAATTCTCATTCATCTATTATATTCTCTTTTTTATCTCATTATGTATGATAGCTATGTACCATTGTTTCTTTATTCCACATTTTCAGTGCTATGTGTTACTGCTATGTGTTATTGAATTGCTTTATTTGTTTAAACGGCCAATGTGAAAAAAGGCCTTTGTGCCTACAATTGTAACCGTTGTTTGAATAAATTTGAATAAATTTGAATAAATTTGAATAAATTTGAATAAATTTGAATAAATTTGAAAATTTGAATTTGTAGGTAAAACACGGATATTTTAAATACTGCCTATTATTTATACTGTTTACTAATTATTATTCTATCTTTCGGTTTGCGGACAAGCTAGGGGTTTTATAGGAGAGGCGTAGCGAGGGGGGGGGGGCATACGTCCCCGGGTGCCGACCTTAGGGGGCGCCAAAGTGGGTTGGAAAAAAATTGCGAGGGGGGTGGTGGAAATCGAAAGTTTTAGGGCGGGGGGGGGGGGACAGGGGTGCAAATCGAAAGTTTGAGGGTGGTGCAAATCACCGGAAAGGGCGCGATTTGGCGCTACGGGCTAGACTGTGAGCAATATGCCTTTATGATTGCATTTGAATTGTGTTTATGTTATGAGTGTTGTGTTTGTTTTTTCGTTTGTGTTTTTTTTTGCGTTCGTTTGTGTTGTGTTTAGTTTTGTTCTGTTCCCATGTTGGTACATTTAAATAAGATTTACCGTGGCGGAGCACGGGATACAGCTAGTGACCTTATATAGCGATTTAACCTTAACACTAAAATATACAGAAAAATTAATTATTAGGGTATCTCCAACTAATGACAAGTAGTCTATTCTTTTAGAACAATCTAAAAACGGAATCAAATGATCCGGTTTTTGAAAATTAAAATAAACCGGGAGTGATCTCCCCTAAAGTTTCTAAACACTACGGGAGATGGCACATCTCGATATAGACATAATTTTTAATCCATTTTTAATTACTTAAAGTTTTTAAAATAGAATAAAATCTCGTAGGAAAAAGAATTGCCTACCAAGTGAACGAAAAACAGTAAGTGTAAAATAGTTCGGAATATAATGAGTACTTTATAAATTCATATGCGGTTTTTTTGAGAAATCGGAAATAACGAAAATTACTACTTTCGGTAAACGGAAATTAATCAAAATTTGATAGAAGGCAAAGAATAAGATCATTTAGTTACATGTGAATTTTCGTTAATCTAACTGAAACAGTACTCAAAGTTATAGGCTTTTGAAAGATTGAAAGTAGAATAAATTTCACTTCCGTTTATTGGAAATCGCCGAAAAATGTATACAGAACTATAAAAATGATATAATACTTATATATGAAATTTATTCAACCTAGCTGTAATGGTCCTCAAGTTATCTTGTTTACAGACACACATACACACACAGAGACATACGGACAGAATTGCAAAGTACAGTTTTTTCCGGCTGGAAAACCCAAAATTTAGATATATCGGGATTTATAATTTTTGCCCGATTAAAATAAATCCTCTATAATCCGGATGTGATCAAGGACTGAGGTGTAAATCAGTGAAAATTGTCAAAATTTCATGTGAACTTTGTGCACGCTTACAATACTTTCTCTGTACTCTGTATAGAAAGTAACAATTATTTAACTCACTTCCTCCGTCGACAGTCTGTCGTCAGTCGTCAGTCTGTCTAGATCGAAACGCCCAAGCGAAATTGCAGGCACTTCTAACTGACAGATACGGTTCGTAGTTGGTGTACAAGTGTATAATTTATTTTCTCCTTTTTAGTTCATTATTACATAAAAGCTTGTTATTAAAACGTTTTTCATGAAATTCTTTTTAGTACTTTACATGTTTTTATTTACAATAGAGTTACATGATTAAAAACCATTGCGCACCTATTGAACGTGATGATGCACTTTTGCCATGATGACGCGTGTGAATAGAAGTGCCTACTCATTCAGTTCAAATTTAATAATTCGGCCAGCTTTGAAATGTCTGCCTTAACTTTAAGTAAATCTTCGGCCAACTTTGATTTGTCTGACTTAACTTTAAGTACATCTTTGGCCAGCTTTGATGTGTCTGCCTTATTTTTAGGTACATCTTTGGTCAGCTTTGATGTGTCTGCCTTATTTTTAGGTACATTTTTGGCTAGCTTTGATTTGTCTGCCTTAACTTTAGGCACTTCTTTGGCCAGCTTTGATTTGTCTGCCTTAACTTTAGGTACATCCTTGGCCGGCTTTGATTTCTCTGCCTTAACTTTAGGCACATCTTTGGCCGGCTTTGATTTGTCTGCCTTAACTTTAAGTAAATCTTCGGCCAGCTTTGATGTGTCTGCCTTAACTTTAGGTACATCTTTGGCTAGCTTTGATTTGTCTGCCTTAACTTTAGGTATTTTCTCGGCCAACTTTGATTTGTCTGCCTTTACTTTAGGTATTTCTTTGGCCGGCTTTGATTTGTCTGCTATAACTTTTGGTACTTCTGCGGCCAGCATTGAATTGTCTGCATTAACTTTAGGTACATCTTCGGCCAGCTTTGATGTGTCTGCCTTAACTTTAGGTACTTCTTTGGCCAGCTTTGATTTGTCTGTATTAAGTTTAGGTACATTTTTGGCCGGCTTTGATTTGTTTGCCTTAACTTTAGGTACATTTTTGGCCGGCTTTGATTTGTCTGCCTTAACTTTAGGTATTTTCTCGGCCAACTTTGATTTGTCTGCCTTTACTTTAGGTACTTCTTTGGCCGGCTTTGATTTGTCTGCATTAATTTTTATTAAATCTTTGGCCGGCTTTGATTTGTCTGCATTAAGTTTAGGTACATCTGTGGCCGGCTCTGATTTGTCTGCCTTAACTTTAGCTTCATCTTCGGCCAGCTTTGAAATGTCTGCCTTAATTTTAAGTAAATATTCGGCCTACTTTGATTTGTCTGACTTAACTTTAGGTACATCTTTGGCCAGCTTTGATGTGTCTGCCTTATTTTTAGGTACATCTTTGGCCAGCTTTGATGTGTCTGCCTTATTTTTAGGTACATTTTTGGCTAGCTTTGATTTGTCTGCCTAAACTTTAGGCACTTCTTTGGCCAGCTTTGATTTGTCTGCCTTAACTTTAGGTACATCCTTGGCCGGCTTTGATTTCTCTGCCTTAACTTTAGGCACATCTTTGGCCGGCTTTGATTTGTCTGCCTTAACTTTAAGTAAATCTTCGGCCAGCTTTGATGTGTCTGCCTTAACTTTAGGTACATCTTTGGCTAGCTTTGATTTGTCTGCCTTAACTTTAGGTATTTTCTCGGCCAACTTTGATTTGTCTGCCTTTACGTTAGGTATTTCTTTGGCCGGCTTTGATTTGTCTGCTATAACTTTAGGTACTTCTGCGGCCAGCATTGAATTGTCTGCATTAACTTTAGGTACATCTTCGGCCAGCTTTGATGTGTCTGCCTTAACTTTAGGTACTTCTTTGGCCAGCTTTGATTTGTCTGTATTAAGTTTAGGTACATTTTTGGCCGGCTTTGATTTGTTTGCCTTAACTTTAGGTACATTTTTGGCCGGCTTTGATTTGTCTGCCTTAACTTTAGGTATTTTCTCGGCCAACTTTGATTTGTCTTCCTTTACTTTAGGTACTTCTTTGGCCGGCTTTGATTTGTCTGCATTAATTTTAAGTAAATCTTTGGCCGGCTTTGATTTGTCTGCATTAAGATTAGGTACATCTGTGGCGGCTCTGATTTGTCTGCCTTAACTTTAGCTTCATCTTCGGCCAGCTTTGAAATGTCTGCCTTAATTTTAAGTAAATATTCGGCCTACGTTGATTTGTCTGACTTAACTCCAGGCACATCTGTGGCCAACTTTGATGTGTCTGCCTTAACTTTAGGTACATCTTCGGACAGCTTTGATGTGTCTGCCTTAACTTTGGGTACTTCTGCCGCTAGCGTTGAATTGTCTGCCTTTACTTTAGGTACTTCTTCGGCCAGCTTTGAATTGTCTGCATTAACTTTAGGTACATCTTTGGCTAACTTTGATTTGTCTGCCTTAACTTTAGGTACTTCAGCGGCTAGCGTTGAATTGTCTGATTTACTTTAGGTACTTCTTCGGCTAGCTTTGATGTGTCTGCCTTAATTTTAGGTACTTCTTTGGCCAGCGTTGATTTGTCTGCCTTAACTTTAGGTACTTCTTTGGCCGGCTTTGATTTGTCTGCCTTAACTTTAGGTACTTCAGCGGCTAGCGTTGAATTGTCTGATTTACTTTAGGTACTTCTTCGGCTAGCTTTGATGTGTCTGCCTTAATTTTAGGTACTTCTTTGGCCAGCGTTGATTTGTCTGCCTTAACTTTAGGTACTTCTTTGGCCGGCTTTGATTTGTCTGCCTTAACTTTAGGTACATCTTCGGCCAGCATTGTTGTGTCTGCTTTACTTTAGGATCTTCTTCAGCCAGCTTTGATGTGTCTGCCTTAACTTTAGGTACTTCTTTGGCCAGCTTTGATTTGTCTGCATTAAGTTTAGGTACATTTTTGGCCGGCTTTGATTTGTTTGCCTTAACTTTAGGTACATTTTTGGCCAGCTGTGATTTGTCTGCCTTAACTTTAGGTACATCTTTGGCTAACTTTGATTTGTCTGCCTTAACTTTAGGTACTTCAGCGGCTAGCGTTGAATTGTCTGATTTACTTTAGGTACTTCTTCGGCTAGCTTTGATGTGTCTGCCTTAATTTTAGGTACTTCTTTGGCCAGCGTTGATTTGTCTGCCTTAACTTTAGGTACTTCTTTGGCCGGCTTTGATTTGTCTGCCTTAACTTTAGGTACATCTTCGGCCAGCATTGTTGTGTCTGCCTTAACTTTAGGATCTTCTTCAGCCAGCTTTGATGTGTCTGCCTTAACTTTAGGTACTTCATTGGCCAGCTTTGATTTGTCTGCATTAAGTTTAGGTACATTTTTGGCCGGCTTTGATTTGTTTGCCTTAACTTTAGGTACATCTTTGGCTAACTTTGATTTGTCTGCCTTAACTTTAGGTACTTCAGCGGCTAGCGTTGAATTGTCTGATTTACTTTAGGTACTTCTTCGGCTAGCTTTGATGTGTCTGCCTTAATTTTAGGTACTTCTTTGGCCAGCGTTGATTTGTCTGCCTTAACTTTAGGTACTTCTTTGGCCGGCTTTGATTTGTCTGCCTTAACTTTAGGTACATCTTCGGCCAGCATTGTTGTGTCTGCTTTACTTTAGGATCTTCTTCAGCCAGCTTTGATGTGTCTGCCTTAACTTTAGGTACTTCTTTGGCCAGCTTTGATTTGTCTGCATTAAGTTTAGGTACATTTTTGGCCGGCTTTGATTTGTTTGCCTTAACTTTAGGTACATTTTTGGCCAGCTGTGATTTGTCTGCCTTAACTTTAGGTACATCTTTGGCTAACTTTAATTTGTCTGCCTTAACTTTAGGTACTTCAGCGGCTAGCGTTGAATTGTCTGCCTTTACTTTAGGTACTTCTGCGGCCAGCTTTGATTTGTCTGCATTTACTTTAGGTACTTCTTCGGCCAGCTTTGAATTGTCTGCATTAACTTTAGGTACTTCTTTGACCGGCTTTGATTTGTCTGCCTTAACTTTAGGTACATTTTTGGCCAGCTTTGATTTGTCTGCATTAAGTTTAGTTACATCTTTGGCCGGCTTTGATTTGTTTGCTTAAGTTTAGGTACATTTTTGGCCGGCTTTGATTCGTCTGCCTTAACTTTAGGTACATCTTTGGCTAGCTTTGATTTGTCTGCCTTAACTTTAGGTACTTCTGCGGCCAGCGTTGAATTGTCTGCCTTTACTTTAGGTACATCTTTGGCCGGCTTTGGTTTGTCTGCCTTAACTTTAGGTACATTTTTGACCAGTTTTGATCGGAAACTGAGTTTAACTTCCGGTTCAAGTCCTTGATCAACATGCTCCTGATGGCCATCACGTTTGGCCACATTCAAAAGTTGGCCCAGCTTGTTCTCAATGGCTTGTGTGACGAGGATGCCTGGAATAAGACAGGTTGAAAACATTTACAGGACAGACTATGGAACATTTGTGGTGCTGTTATAGTACCGTTACGGAAATATTAATGCACATTTAGGGTTCTTTTATGGTGCTGTTGTGGAACTGTTAGGCAACGTTATAGTGTTTATATAGTACTCTCATGGTACTGTTACAGTACTGCTATTATACTATTATAGTACTATTACGGTACCGTCATAATATGGTTGTAGCTGTTCTGGTGTGATAATGTGGTGGTACTATTTAAGCTTGTTAATGTCTGACAGCTTGTCCAATATTCGTAGTCCTTCCCTTAAAATTCAAGCCCCAATGCTAACCATATACCTAACTCTGGCTCTAATTCTTAAGTCTAAGCCAAATGTTATACTATGCCAATCACAGCTATACCCAGAATGTATTTCCCATAGCGTGGCGACACTACAACCCAATAAACCAACATAACATCCTGTATCATGACGATAAAGATGTCTTAAACTGAAATCAAGACACCAACGGGATCTAAAAAAAAGACAAATTCGACTGTGACACATCTGTTTGATAAAGAGTAGTAATGTGAATCGTGTGATGTATGAAAAAAAGAGTTGTGATATGAGTCATGTGATGTATGACAAAGAGGCGTGATGTGTTTCGCGTGATGTATGAGATAGGGTTGTGATGTGTGTCGAGTGATGTATGAGAAAGAATTGTTGTGTGTGTCGTGTGAGATATGATCGAGGAATATGTTTTAATTATCCCTTGTTTCAGCTACTTACCTTACCCAATATTGTTCCTGTGATTGTTGTTCTTCTACCATTTATTGTAGTTCTACTACAATTGATTTTAGTTATACTAACAGTGATTTTATTTCTACTACCAGTGATTGTAGTTCTTTGTTCTATGTAACTGTAATTGTTATTCTTTGTACCTGTGATCGTTGTTCTATATACCTGTTATTGTTGACCTAGTACCTTTAATTGTAGTTACTCTACACGTAATTGTATTTTTACTAGTTCTACTACCTGTGATTGTAGTTCTACTACCTGTGATCGTAGTTCTACTATCTGTGATTGTAGTTCTCTACACCTGTGTTGAGGGAATGTGATTCTAAGGAAATGATTCAGAAATGATAGAAGGGCACATGCTATTAGCCTGGGCGTCACCGCTAAAGAGTGTTACTTGGTTTAGTCCACCCCCAACCCAACTACTGAACGATGACAAAGAACACACATCAAAGGAAAAACTTGTGGTAAGCGTCCCTACACATGTTTACCAAGGGAGGGCATGTGACCATTTCAACTTACGGGTGGCGAGTGGGCAATTGATTATATCATGCATTTTATATATAACATATTTTTTTTTACCATTTTGTTCCTAGGGATGGTAGACGTGCTCAAGGGGTGGTCCCCCCCCCCCCTGGAGAGATGCCAGATAAAACAGAGGGCACAAAGGATAAGACCAGACATAAGCAAGTTCTACAACATCACTGATGAGAGTATAAAGCAAGAGTTACTATAGCAACCATTGATAGAATGAAAACAGACTTACAGCAGACAAGAAGAAAAGCTGTGTGGATGAGCTTCATGGTTGGATTCCTGACTTACACAGATGTTGAAGGATTCAAGTGATGGATTCCCGACCTATCCAAACATAAAATTCCTGACGTTATCGATATTGTGATGAATGTTACAAAGCGGTTAATTTATTTAGCGTTATAGTTCATTAAAGTAAGTTAAACTGGAAGTGATCTTACATAAACGTTCTCAAATATTCGTAAATAACACTACGGGAGATGGAACATCTCGATATAGACATGATTATTAATCCATTTTTAATTACTTAAACTTTTAAAAATATAATAAAATCTGAAAAAAATAGAATTGCACACCATGTGAACGCCATACAATATTTGTATAATAGTGCGGAATATTATTAGTACTTTATAAATTCACATGCGTTTTTTTTTTTTTTAGAAATTGGAAATAGTGAAAATTACAACTTCTGGTCAAATGAAACTACTCAAATTTGACACTTATAAGTGAAATTTTATTAATCTATCTGAAACAGTACTCAACTTATGGGCTTTTGAAAAATTGAAAGTAGAATAAGTTGCACTTCTGGTTATCAGAAATCAATGAAAATTTGAAACTGAATTATAAAAGTGATATAATACTTATGTATGAAATTTCATCCACCTAGCTGCGACGGTACTCAAGTTATATTATGTTTACAGAAAAACATACACACTCACACACACACAGACATACGGACAGAATTGCATGGTCTAGTTTTTACGAATACATTACGCATAAAACGCCAAAATTTAGAAAAATCTGGAATTATATTTTTTGCCCGATTAAATGAAGTTCCCTAACCTCCGGATGTGATGAAGGGCTGATGTGAAAAAGGTGTAAACTCTTAAAATTTCATGTGATTCTTGTGCACGATTACAATACTTTCTCTATAATCTGTATACGAGAAAGTTAAAATGTAGAACTCATTTTGTGGTTTTTTTTACAGCTGAGAGGTGGAACAACCTCACATATTGCACATCTATATTGCTTATATTTCAGTTTCAAAAGAGAGGTGGAACTACCTCACATATTGCACATCTATATTGCTTATATTTCAGTTTCAAAAAAGAGGTGGAACTACCTCACTGATCGTATATATATATAAATGGCCTATATCTCAGTCTAATATAAGTAAAAACATAGATTGCCCCTTTCTCAAATAAAGCTATGACAAAAATCTAAATCTAACATCTAGATGTCCCTTTCCTGTGATTGTTGTTCTATGTTTATGGGATTCTACTACCTGTGATTGTTGTTTTATGTACCGCGGATTGTATTTCTTCTACATGTGATTGTAGTTCTACTACCTGTAATTGTAGCTCTATGTACCAGTGATTGTGGTTCTATGTACCAGTGATTGTAGCTCTATGTACTAGGTATTGTAACTTTGTACCCAGACGAGCTTAGTCTCAAATGTATTAGTTGGGCCAATTAAAAATTTGAAAAATCATGCATCGTGTAATTGAAATTGATAATTAATATGGTTATAAAATCCTGATTGTTTAGTATTGTTTCGGACTTTAACAAAAAACAAAACAATAATAATTTTCTAATTTATTTATTATTATAATTTAACATGAGTACCGTTACAGCTAGGTTGATGAAATTTCATATATAAGTACTATATCAAAATCGTAGATCCGTATCAACTTTTGAGTGATTTCCGATAACCGAAAGTAGAGCTTTTTCTTTTTTGAATTTATCAAAAGCCTATAACTTGAGTAGTATTCAAGATAGATAAATGAAATTTTACATGTAAGTAAAAGATCTAATATTCTGCCGTCTTTCAAATTTTGAGTAATTTCCGTTGACCGGAAGTAGTAATTTTTCCTCTTTCGGATTTCTCAAAAAAATCACAAGAACTTGATTACCCTTACAGCTAGGTTGAAGAAATTTCATAAATAATTATTATATCAAAATCGTAGATCCGTATCAACTTTTGAGTGATTTCCAATAAACGGAAGTGGAACTTTTTCTTCTTTGAATTTTTCAAAAGCCTATACCTTGAGTACTATTTCAGATAGATAAATGAAATTTCACATGTAAGTAAAAGATCTAATTCTCTGCCATCTTTCAAATTTTGAGTAAAATTCCGTCTACCGGCAGTAGTAATTTACGCTTTTTCCGATTTCTAAAAAAAAAAGCAAGTGAATTTACAAAGTACTAATTATATCCCGCACTATTATGCACATTTTATTTGGCGTGCGATTCTTTGTTTCGACGAGATTCTATTCTATTATAAAAAGTTTAAGTTATTAATAATGGATTAAAATGGATTAAAATATTGTCCATGCCCCGAGTTGCCATCCCCCGTAGTGTTATATTAGAGTATTAGAATATTCGAGAAGGTTTAGGGGAGATCACTCCCTGTTGATTTTTAATTATTTTTACGCGCTAAGAAGTAAAAAAAAATAAAGAAATAAGAAATAACGAATTTTATCCGTGTCACTATATATATATATATATATATATATATATATATATATATAATTAAGATAACAACATTTACAAACATCTCACCATACCTTTCTTCAAAGTCCTACTGTTGTAAACGTGTTAGGGCTATGATGTCGCTTGTCTGATCTGACAAAGGACCCGTTGAACACAAAGGAGAAAAAAAGCATCTAAGTTCACTTAAAACATTCATTTAGGTTGTAAGAAACCAAACTTGGTGAGCTTCGGTCCAGCCCATTAATCGATCAGAGTTAATGTGTTATGGCTTTAACTCTTTTTTTTCTATCTAGTGAGATAAATCTAGCGTCTAGGTCATGTTTTAAGTCTTATTTATTGAAAGCATAAAAAAAGCGTCACTAACCGACCTGTCAGTTTAAACAAATAAACCTAACATTCAAAACAACTCCAACCTAATGCGTACCTTCTCAGACCCCCCCCCCCCACCCCTACTTTTTAAAAATCCACCATTGTCTGTTCGATGATCGCCAGGATATGAGAGGCAACTAAGAAATCGATGGCAATGTACAACACTACAACTGACGCAAAGTTCTCTGATTCTCATGATGTTTTAACTCAAAAATATTTCGTTCTTGTCAATGGCGTCCACTTTTACATTCGTCCTTATACAGCCTTTGTTAATGTCGTCCTTTTATCTACAGCATCGGTGTTTCGATTGTGTCGAGTTTATAAATAGTCAATGTCAATTGCGTCACGTCTATCTATATTCTGTCAATGGTGTCATGTTTGTCTACATTTTGTCAGTGGTGTCATGTTTGTCTACATTCAGTCAATGGTCTCATGTTTGTCTACAGCCTGTCAATGGTGTAAAGTTTGTCAACATTCTGTCAGTGGTGTCACGTTTGTCTACAGTCTATCAATTGCGTCACTTGTAATTGTCTTGCTTGTTTAATCTCGTGTATTTGTTGAGAAATATATAACAGAACACCACGAATCACAAAACACCGGAAACATTTTAATGAAAGCAAGTTCAAATCACATCCAAACACATGACATGTCGGCTTAATATCGACATAATCTTTAGGATAAAGTGACCAATCCTACAGTTCTACTGACCAGTTCTCGTATTCTGGATAAAGAACTTAAGGTCTCGCCGTGCATTAATACATTAATTATTAGGGTGTCCCCTACTAACGAATAGTAGTCTATTCTTTTAGAACAACGTAAAACAGATCCGGTTTTTGAAAATTAAAATTAACCGGGAGTGATTTCCCCTAAACTTTCTCGAATATTCTTATATAACACTACGGAATATGACACATCTCGATAAATACATAATTTTAAATCTATTTTTAATTACTTAAAGTTTTTAAAATAGAATAAAATCTCGTAGAAAAACGAAATGCACACCAAGTAAACGAAAAACAGTAAGTGTAAAATAGTTCGGAATATTATGAGTACTTTATAAATTCATATGCATTTTTTTGAGAAAACGGAAATAGCAAAAATTACCACTTTCGGTAAACGGAAATTAATCAAAATTTGATAGAAGGCAAACAATAAGATCATTTACTTACATGTGAAATTTCGTTAATCTAACTGAAACAGTACTCAAAGTTTAAGGCTTTTCAAAATTGAAAGTAGAATAAATTCCACTTCCGTTTATTGGAAATCGCCGAACGATGTATACAGAACTACAAATTTGATATAATACTTATATATGAAATTTATTCAACCTAGCTGTAATGGCACTCAAGTTATCGTGTTTACAAACACACATACACATATAGACATACGGACATAATTGCAAAGTACAGTTTTTCCGGCTGGAAAACGCACAATTTTGATAAATCGGGATTTATAATTTTTTCCCCGAATAAAATAAGTCAATTATAATCCAGATGGAATCAGAGACCTAAGGTGTAAAGCAGTGAAAACTATCAAAATTTCATGTGAATTTCGTGCTCGTTTACAATACTTTCTCTGTACTATGTCTAGAAAGTAAAAATAAACTATATAAACGATAGAAACGTAACAGTATTTAAACCATGTTTAAACAATTCTGAAAAATTACATTATAACCCCCTTCCCCTACCGATATTTTCTGCGCATAAAAACGTCTCCAGTATCAGGCACGATACAAAGCTTTCCTTTTAGTTAGTTATCTATGACTAAACGTCCGACGTACATCTTTGGCCAGCTTTGGTTTGTCTGCCTTAACTTTAGGTACTTCTTCGGCCAGCTTTGATTTGTCTGCCTTAACTTTAAGTAAATCTTTGGCCGGCTTTGATTTGTCTGACTTAACTTTAGGTACATCTTTGGCCAGATGTGATTCGCTTGCCCTCACTTTAATTAAAAATTTGGCCAGCTTTGATTTGTCTGCCTTTATTTTAAGTACATATTCGGCCGGCTTTGATTTGTCTGCCTTAACTTTAGGTACATCTTCGGCCAGATGTGATTCGCTTGCCTTCACTTTAATTAAAAATTTGGCCAGCTTTGATTTGTCTGCCTTAACTTTAGGTACATCTTTGGCCAGCTTTGATATGTCTGCCTTCACTTTAATTAAAAATTTGGCCAGCTTTGATTTGTCTGCGTTAACTTTAGATACATCTTTGGCCAGCTTTGATATGTCTGCCTTCACTTTAATTAAAAATTTGGCCAGCTTTGATTTGTCTGCCTTAACTTTATGTACATTTTTGGCCGGCTTTGATTTGTTTGCCTTAACTTTAGGTACATCTTCGGCAGGCTTTGATTTGTCTGCCTTAGCTTTAGGTACATCTTCTGCCATCTTTGATTTGTCTGCCTTAACTTTAGATACATTTTTGACCAGCTTTGATTTGTCTGCCTTAACTCGAGGTACATCTTTGGCCAACGTTGATTCGTCTGCCTTAACTTTAACATTTTTGACCAGCATTGATTGGAAACTAAGTGTAGCTTCCGGTTTAAGTCCCTGTTCAACATGCTCCTGTTGGCCATCACGTTTGGCCACATTCAAATGTTGGCCCAGCTTGTTCTCAATGGCTTGTGTGACGAGGATGCCTGGAATAAGACAGGTTGAAAACATTTACAGGACAGACATATGGAACATTTGTGATACTGTTATAGTACCGTTACGGAAATGTTAGTGCACTTTTAGGGTATTTTTTACGGTGCTGTTGTGGAACTGTTAGGCAATGGTATAGTGTTGTTATAGTACTGTCATGGTACTGTTATAGTACTGCTATTGTACTATTATAGTACTACTACAGTACCGTCATAATATGGTTGTAGCTGTTTTGTTGTGATAATGTGGTGGTACTATTTAATCTTTTTAATGTCTGTCATGGTCTTGTCCAAGTTATAATATTCGTATTCCTTCCCTTAAAATTCAAGCCCCAATGCTAACCATATACCTAACTGTGGCTCAAATTCCAGATTTTAAGTTATTCTTAAGTCTAAGCCAAATGTTATACTATGCCAATCACAGCTATACCCAGAACGTGGCGAAACTAGAACCCAATAAGCAACATAACATCCTGTATCGTGACGATAAAGGTGTCTTAAACTAAAATTAAGAAACCAACGGGATCTAAAAAAAAGAGACAAATTCGACTGTGACACACGGGATCGATAAAGAGTTGTGATGTGAATCGTGTGATGTATGAAAGAAAGAATTGTAATGTGTGTCTGGTGATGTATGACAAAGAGGCGTGGTGTGTATCGCGTGATGTATGAGAAAGAGTTGTGATGTGTGTCGCGTGATGTATGAGAAAGAGTTGTGATGTGTGTCGTATAAGATATGAACGAGGAATGTGTTTTAATTGTACCCATTTTCAGCTACTTACCTTACCCAATATTCTTCCTGTGATTGTTATTCTATGTACCTGTGATTGTTGTTCTTCTACCATTGATTCCACTACCTGTGATTGATGTTCTAATACATGTGATTGTAGTTCTACTACCATTCATTGTAGTTCTACTACAATTGATTTTAGTTATACTAACAGTGATTTTATTTCTACTACCAGTGATTGTACTTCTATGTTCTATGTAACTGTAATTGTTATTCTATGTACCTGTGATCGTTGTTCTATATACCTGTTATTGTTGATCTACTTCCTGTTATTGTAGTTACTCTTCACGTGATTGTATTTTTACTAGTTCTACTACCTGTGATTGTAGTCTGCTAACTGTGATTGTAGTTCTCTACACCTGTGTTGAGGGAATGTGATTCTAAGGAAACGATTCAGAAATGATAGGAAGGGTGCATACTATTAGCCTAGGTGTTACCGCCTAAAGAGTGTTTAGTCCACTCCCAACCCAATTACTGAACGATAACAAAGAACACACTTCAAAGGAAAAACTTGTGGTAAGCGTGCCTACACATGTTTACCAAGGGAGGGCATGTGACCATTTCAACTTACGGGTGGCGAGTGGGCAATTGATTATATCATACATTTTATAGATAACTTATATATTTTTTTAACCATTTTGTTCCTAGGGATGGTAGACTTGCACAAGGGGTAGTCCAGTCCCCCACCACCCTGGAGAGATGCCAGATAAAAACAGAGGGCACAAAGGATAAGACCAGACATGAGCAAGTTCTACAACATCTCTAATGAGAGTATAAAGCAAGAGTTACCCTAGCAACCGTAGATAGAATGAAAACAGACTTACAGCAGACAAAAAGCAAAGCTGTGTGGATGAGCTTCATGTTTGGATTCCTGACTTACACAGACGTTGAAGGATGCAAGTGATGGATTCCCGACTTATCTCAACATTGAATTCGTGAAGTTATCGAATATATGATGAATGTTACAAAGCGGTTAATTTATTTAGCGTTATAATTCATTAAAGTAAGTTAAACTGGAAGTGATCTCCCATAAACTTTCTCAAATATTCGTATATAATACTACGGGAGATGGAACATCTCGATATAATAATCTATTTTTAATTACTTAAACTTTTTAAAATAGAATAAAATCTCCAAAAATAAGAATTGCAAACCATGTTAACATCAAACAATGTGTGTATAATAGTGCGGAATATTAGTAGTACTTTATAAATTCACATGCGTTGTTTTTTAGAAATTGGAAATAGCGAAAATTACAACTTCTGATCGAAGGAAATTACTCAAAATTTGTCAGGAGAATTAGATATGTTACATATAAATGAAATTTCATTAATCTATCTGAAACATTACTCAACTTATGGGCTTTTGAGAAATTGAAAGTAGAAGGAGTTCCACTTCTTTTTTTTTTTTTACCAAATCTTTCATGGTTTATATTCTTTTGACCAGACGTCAAGAGGTCTAATTTCAGAGATAAAACTGATTTTCCCAAAACACCCTAATGCACTAACACACTTGACATGATGTTGTAATTTGTTTTATTGAAAAAAAAAAACATTTTTTTTTCAAAACCCGAACAGGCCAGCAATGAGTATCTTATGTTCGTATTTTGTATATATATATATATATATATATATATATATATATATATATATATATATATATATATATATATATATATATATATATATATATATATATATATATATATATATATATATATTATATAAGCGGGCTGTTAGTGTGTCAGTCCTTCCTTCCGTCATCGCTATAGATTTTGGAAGCATAAAAGTAAACAGCGCAACATTTTGTTTTTAATTTTTTAAAAATTTAAAGCTTGTTGGTTAAAAAATTGTAAAGAGTCTGGTTTGTAACATGTTTGCCAACAAAAGTGGTGGAAGAGCATAACGTATAAAAGAATAGTCGAAAACAAAGCTAGTTTGCATGGATTTCTTCCCATTCTGTAGAATAAACATAGTAATGCCAAAAAAAAAAAGGAATAACCAGTACAGTAGTCACACACACACACACATTTGTTGTTTTACACAGATTTAGTTTACATTTGTACAATTGAAAATTACAAAAATAGATAAATAAGTAAATGAATAAATATTCGAAACTGATGTTTTGGTGGGTGGTGGGGTCGTTGGAACAGTTAAAAGGGATGCGAGGTTATCATATCTGAGGGTGATGTGGACTGAGGAGGGGGGGGGGGCGGTAGAGTGTCTTACGAGCCACGGAGAGAGTGTCTGTGTGTGTTTAAGGCAAGCCAAGAATCAAAATCTGTGCTGTGTGATCTAACTGCTGATGTGTTACTATTTATAGTGTGTGTATGTTTGGGTGGGGGTGGGGGTGACGAACAGATTGCTGTGTGAGCGATTTAGCGGGAGGGTGAAAGGTTGCTATGTTCGAGTCGGTGTTTATGTTTGTTTGGATGTTTAATACCGACAGGTTAGGGGTGGGTAGGCGTGTAGCTATCACGGGGTGTGGGGATACAGTGGAGTTTTAAAGGTCAAAATTTGGTTAACAGTGTTCTCATAAAAGAGTTAGTAAAGTTAATAAAACAACTGTAAGTATTAATTTGGGGATAATAAAATGAATATAAAAGGAGTAGGGGTCATCGAGGTCATTTTGTACGTTGTGGACCAAAGTACCTTACATATATGATAGTAGTAAAATAGAGACAAATGATGTGTTTGTTTGTAAGCTGTATAATAAAACAATACACAAATAAGCAACAATAGGAAACTGAATGAGAAATGCAGTGGCGGAACTAGAAAAAAAGGGCCACCCCGCAAAGAATTTTTTTGGGCCCCATATATATATATATATATATATATATATATATATATATATATATATATATATATATATATATATATATATATATATATATATATATATATATATATATATATACATAAAATTAAAAAATACCTAGTTTTTATTAAAAAGTAAAAACAAGTTACACCACTTCATTTGTGTGAATGCTATTAGATCTAGTCTGTTTCGAACATCTCCGTTTTAATATGTTTGCTATAATGCCATACTAGAATAAGTCAGTCGAAATAATATGAAGCATAAAAGCTGTGTATGTGTAATGGTTTCTCGCCCTATGTTTATTTTTATGTTTTTTTGTATTTATATTATTAGTTTTAAATACATTTCTGTTTTATGCTTTGTTATTCTTTATTATGTATTTTTTAAAATAATAATTAATTGCTTTTTATTTGTTTAATGCAAATCTATTAATAGTGCTTAAGAGCACACATATTTGACTATTTAAAAAAAGGGAAATAAGTCATGGAAGTGGTTTGAACGTTTGCGTATCTTTCACGCGATGGATTTATTTTCAAAATAACTTTGCCGACAACAGCATGTTTGATTGTAGGAGAAAGAGGACTCGAGATGGTGTCTATATAATAAAGATAATCAAACAGCAGCTGCAGTATTCTTTTTACAAAACATCCATCAAGTCAAAAATGCAAGAAGATTTTTTTTAAACTGTAAAAAAATTGATTATGGTCGGCTGCGGGCCCCTAAACGTCCCGGCCCCCCCCCCCCCCCCCCCGCAATGCGGGGTCTGGCGGCACTGCAGTTCCGCCCCTGGAGAAATGATAAATGATGCGAAACAAGGTGGGGGCATGGGGGTTGTAGGGGTTGGAGTCAAATTAATGTTGTTAGAAATGTATTTGGATAATACTTCATCTTCAGTATTTAACATAGTATTTCAACACAGGGGTGGGGGTCATGGGGACGAAGGGGATGCAGTTATGGGGGCAATATGGTATTGGGATCATGAGGTTTAAGGGCGGGGGGCGAGGGGCGGGGAGGATCTGATGAAAGGGGAGGTGTCGGTTAGATTAGGCGGGCCAGGTGGCCAATGCAGTGTAATATGTTCTTTACGTTGGGCTGTTGCTAATTATGGTATATGTGTTTGAGTGCTGTCATTGTCGAGTCGTCTACGATAAATCAAGTCGAGTACGTGTCCCGTGAACTGTACCTTGTCGCGTTTAGCTTTTATTCTACTGTTCCAAATAGTCTGTCTATAGATAGCTACCGTCCTTGCTTTTTGCTCTAGGTCCGTCCTGTCTCTTTGTTTAGGGATTTTGTTTAGAGTTATAACTATATCGATGCTCAAGGTCTCGTTTTTTTGTTATTTTGGTTTCTAGCGTCTTTTTCATGTTTTGTATGGTAGGGCATTCTAAATAGATTTGCGTTTCGGTTTCTGGTGTGTTTTGTCTGCATAGTGGACAATATGGTTTCTGTTGTTTTGCTAGGGGTGTTGAATTGTAGATGAGTCTGTATGTTATTTCCCTGTTTTTGGGTGTAATGGTTTTGAGGTGTAGGTTCCTGAATTGAATTCTGTTGTATAATGGGGTTGAGAGTTTTTGCACTAACGTTTTGTAGATGTTTTGTGATTTTTCGTGAACAAGTTTTTCGTTGTTTTTTTAATATTTGTAAGCATTCTGTGTAAAAGGGACTGTGTTTTCCTCCTATGTAATCTGGAGCTGTATTATTGATTTTTGTAAGTTTATTAAGCTGAATGCCTATATAGTAGTGAGTTAAAGGGTGAAAATTTGGTTGACTAATTATTCTGCTACTGTGTGTTAGTCTAAATGTATTGATTTTGGTCTGTATATTGTGCAGGTTTTTTTTCCATGAAGTTTGTTTTGTACTAGCGTGTTGTGGCTGTTTGTAATTGTGGTCTGAAATATATACTCTCTAATGATTTTATTAAGATGTTTTATTTTTCCACTTCTGGTTATCAGAAATCAATGAAAATTTGATACAGAATTACAAAAGTGATATAATACTTATGTATGAAATTTCATCCACCTAGCTGTAACGGTACTCAAGTTATCATGTTTACAGACACACATACACACTCACACACACACAGAGAGACATACGGACAGAATTGCATAGTCCAGTTTTTCCCACTCAATTACGCATAAAACGCAAAAATTTAGAAAAATTTGGATTAATAATTTTTGCCCGATTAAAATAAGTCCTCTATACTCCGGAAGTGATGAAGGGCTGATGTGAATAAACCCGGAGTGATCTCCCCTAAACTTTCTCGAATATTCTTATATAAAACAACAGGGGGATGGGAACTCCATTTTAAATACTTAAAGTTTTAAAAATAGAATAAAATCTCGTACAAAAAAGAATTGCAGACCAAGTGAACGCCAAATTCACATATTGAATATCTATATTGCTTATATTTCAGTTTCAAAAGAGAGGTGGAACAACCTCACATATTGCACATCTATATTGTTTATATTTCAGTTTCAAAAGAGAGGTGGAACTACCTCACATATTGCACATCTATATTGTTTTTATTTCAGTTTCAAAAGAGAGGTGGAACTACCTCACATATTGCACATCTATATTGCTTATATTTCAGTTTCAAAAGAGAGGTGGAACTACCTCACATATTGCACATCTATATTGCTTATATTTCAGTTTCAAAAGAGAGGTGGAACTATCTAACAGATCGCACAAATAAATGGCCTCTATCTCAGTTTAATATAAGTAAAAACATAGATGGCCCCTTTCTCAAATAAAGCTATGACATAAATCTAAATCTAAAATCTAGATGTCCCTATCCCTGTGATTGTTGTTCTTTGTATATGGGATTCTACTACCTGTGATTGTTGTTCTATGTACCGCGGATTGTATTTCTTCTACCTGTGATTGTAGTTCTACTACCTGTAATTGTAGCTCTATGTACCAGTGATTGTAGTTCTATGCACCAGTGATTGTAGCTCTATGTACCAGTGATTGTAACTTAGTGTACCCAAACGAGCTTAGTCTCAAATGTATTAGTTAGGCCAAATAAATATTTTAAAAATTATGCACCGTGTAATTGAAATTGATATGGTTATAAAATCCTGATTGTTTAGTATTTTTTTGGACTTTAACAAAAAAAAAACAATAATAAATTTCTGATTTATTTTTAGACTTAGGTTTTATTCCTGTCTCGTATATACGAAGTATATACGAAGTATATACGAAGTATAGAGAAAGTCTTGTAGTCAATCGTGCAAAACAAAATCGAGATTTTTGCAAATCTCCACGTTTCCCTGAGTCGGAAAAACATAGTTTTGCAATCTTGTCAGTATGTCTGCGTGTGTATGTGTCTGTGTGTCTGTGTGTGTGTTTAAACACAATAACTTGAGTACCGTTGCAGCTAGGTTGATGAAATTTTAATATATAAGTATTATATCAAAATCGCAAATCCGTATCAACTTTTGAGTGATTTTCGATAAACGGAAGTGGAACTTTTTCTACTTTGAATTTTCCAAAAGCCTATAACTTGAGTACTACTTCAGATAAATAAATGAAATTTCACATGTAAGTGTAAGTTCTAATTCTCTACCTTCTGTCAAATTTTAAATAATTTCCGTTGATCGAAAGTAGTAATTTACGCTATTTCCAATTTCTCAAAAAACTAATGTAAATTGATAAAGTACCAGCCGTCCCTGCCAGGCCCTGCACTGGCATTTCTGAAAAACGTATCTGTAAAGGACCATAACTTGTGTGTTTTGTAATCAGCATTTACCCGGCATTGCCCACCATAAACACAACCAACTAAAACACACAAAAACGCAAACATAACACTAACACAAAACAAACACAAACGAAAACACAAAAACAGATGCAAAGACAAACCCAACCACAAACACAAAGAAAACACTAACGCAAACAAAAAAGCAAACGAAAAAAATCCAAACGCAAACACAAACCCAACCACAACCAAACAAAACCAAAACACACACACACACAAAACAACGCAAACATAACACAAACACAAATACAAACACAAACGAAAACACAAAAACAAAAACAAACGCAAACACAACCACAAACACAAAGAAAACACACACGCAAAGAAAAAAATCAAACGAAAACAAACCCAAATCCAAACGCAAACACAACCACAATCGCAACCCAAACTCAAACATAAAGAAAACAGAAACACAAATATAAACTCAAAGTGTCCACAGTCTAGCCCGGGGCGCCAAATCGCACCATGACGACGTGCGGCATAGCCGCCTGATTCAACTTAGTAAACGACTATAGTACCCAACTTATTCATAGTCTTTTGAACTCACTTACGCGAACACGGGAAGGCAACCTGTTGGGGTGCCGGAGGACGCCCGGATTTGATTCACTTTAAGACTACAGTAACCGTTCTTATTCATAGTCTATCGCACTGTTTAAAACGAAAGTATGCACCATAGCGCTCACATGATAGCACAGGGCGCCAAATCGAACCGTGGAGGGGTGCCGGCGGACGCGCCTGTTTCAATTTAGTGAACAAAATTATAATACTCCAAGCTTATCCGTAAATGAAAAGAATTAAACATATAGGATTCGAAGGACCTGGCTTATTGATTTAAAAAAAGAATTAGTAAACAGTACGTTCAGTGTATGGAATAAATAAAAGGCAGTATTAAAAATACCAACGACATTGCACTTAATCAATCCCCGCTAATTATATATATATTTTTTCCTTACACCAAAGCAAAGTAATAAAAAGTAAATTCTTTCTCCCCCCGATTTAATGCTTTTTTTAAAAAGGGAAGTAACTGTGTTTTCCAAATCAAAGGACGTTATGAGAACTAAAGGACAAAATGCAAATACATTTCAGACACAATTTTAGAAATTTTTTAAACGTTGATACATTTTAACAAAAATTTATGTAAGGTTCATAATTGAAAATTATTATTCAAAGTATATTAAATGAAAATTGTTTTTAAAGACTTTCAATAGTAATTTTTTAACTAATAAATTTAGACCATGAGTACTATAATAATCTAACACTTAAATCCATGGAAATATCGATTTTTTTTTGTTTTTTCTTATATTCCTTTGTAAGCCTCGATTACAAACATTTTACAAACAAACATACAGAATTGAACTTTATATATTAGACTTATAATATTGCGCACTATTAATATTATGCACATTTTATTTGGCGTTCACTTGGTGTGCAATTCTTTTTTTTTACGAGATTTTATTCTATTTTAAAAACTTTAAGTATTTAAAATGGATTAAAAATCATGTCTATAGCCCGAGTTCCCATCCCCTGTTGTTTTATATAAGAATATTCGAGAAAGTTTACGGAAGATCACTCCCGGTTTATTTTCTACGAGATGCTATTCTATTATAAAAAGTTTAAGTTATTAAAAATTGATTAAAATGGATTAAAAATATTGTCTATGCCCCGAGTTGCCATCCCCCGTAGTGTTATATTAAAATATTCGAGAAAGTTTAGGGGAGATCACTCCCGGTTTATTTTTAATTACTTTTACGCCGCTAAGAAGTCAAAAAATAAAAATAAATAAATAAGAAATAACGAATTTTATCCATGTCACTATATTTATTATGATGGAAGGATTCTCGTCAACTCGCTGGAGTAGACTGGATTAAAAGATATTGGGTTTAAATGGCGAAAAATTCAAGAAAATAATGTTAAATTACAACTTTCATGACTTAGGATTATACATGCATACTGCCTAGCTTCGCGTAGGTTTTCAAAAACATTAGAGAATTTGAATACTTAATTATTTAGTGATGGATGAGGTGTGGAGTGCTTAAAATTAAACAGTAATGCTAATTTTAGGGAAATGTAGTTATTGTTCAATTATTGGAAAGTTCTTAATGTACGACAAAATGGAAATAGAACTACAGAGGTTCCATCAACAGTATATCTCATAATGTATATTACATTGACTTTTAAAATTAATTTATTTATTTAATAAGGATACGTACTTTATATAACACTTAATTTTTTACTAAAACAAATGCTATACTTCGTCATTTTCTGTTTATGTATAAAATAGTACACAATTGTTTGAAAAATAATTATTTTAAAAAAATTACCTCCCGTGAAAATTGAACGAATGAAGTATGTCTTTGTTTCCTTTTTATTTTAAACAAACAGTTGCTATGCTTATATAAGAAAATACGGACAAAAAATACGGAAAAAATCTGGACATATTTAACGACCATAACATGGCTTTTCTCGACGGGAATAACGTTTTTTTTTTACCCTCCAGAGTCGGTCTACGACAGGGGTCTCCAAACTTTTCAGCCCGAGGGCCGCATTAACTATCAAATATCAGTTCGGCGGCCAGTTTCTTCCAGGCATCTCTTTGGGGTGGCAGAGCCCCCCACCCACTCCCCACCGAAGAACATATACCCCCCCCCCCAAAGAAATATAAATTATATAGAAATATATATATATATATATATATATATATATAAATTTCAGCGACTCATCCATTGCATTTGAAAAATGGCAAAACTTGAATGCATTTTTCGCTATTTGAGTCACATTGTTTTCACCAATGTCTGCAACACTGCTGGCAACGGTATATGCACCCAAAGCTACATTTTCAAATTGCTTTGAACTTTCTGGGCAAAGTTCCTCAGGCACCTCCAACAAACATTTTTCCGTGGACAGAAAGATGCCGGATGAGAGGAACCCGCGGGCCTCACTCTGCCCGCGGGCCTCACTCTGCCCGCGGGCCTCACTCTGCCCTCGGGCAGCACTCTGCCCGCGGGCCGCACTCTGCCCGCGGGCCGCACTCGGCCCGCGGGACGTAGTTTGGAGACCCCTGGTCTACGACATCACAAAATATCAGGGGGATCCTTCGGCATTTTTTTATATAGCTTATGTACGGACAATGTAACTCGTGGTCACTTTTTAGCCTTCATCGAGAGCTATGAGTCAAACCAACAGGTTTGCCCTACGGCAAAGCCATTCACCTATAAGCGTGCCGAAAATCAGCCAGATGTAAAGAGGGTAAGTGCCCTAAAATCTGTTTTGAAATTACCCTCTGTTTTTCCCATAAAATACAAAGATTGAATAGGGAAATACAACTGGTCAGTTTTGACCCATTTTCCAATTTTTCCCGGACATGGCGAGTTTTTTTGTGACGACCCAATGCGTTCTCCTACCACCTCGCAAAATTTCAAGGGGGGGTCGTCGGACGAAATTTTTTTTCGTAATAGAGCTCATATAAAGAGAATTTCACACGCGGTCAATTTTTAGTCCTCGTCGAGGGCTTTGAGTAAAACCAACAGGTTCGCCCTACGGCCAAGCCATTTACCTATAAGTATGCAAAAAATTAGCCAGATGTAAATAGGGTAAGTGCCCTGAAATCCGTTTTCAAATTACCCTCTTTTTTCCCCATAAAATACAAAGATTATATAGGGAAATACGATTGGTCAGTTTTGACCTTTTTCCCGATTTTTCCCGGACATGGCGAGTTTTTTGTGACACCCCAAGGCGTTCTCCTACCACCACACAAAATTTTGCTTTATATATATATATATATATAGATGATAACCTAATTAGACACTAGAGGTCTAAAATAGTGCTTGATTTCGTTGTAATTTATCTTTAAAAAAGCATATATATAGAGAGAGAGGGGGTAGGCGGGGGTGCGGACCACACCGGGTGACACCATTTAGGGAGGGTGACAACCAAGGCAAAAATAATCTATTTACAAACTAAGGTTATATATATATATATATATATATATATATATATATATATATATATATATATATATATATATATATATATATATATATATATATATATATATATATATATATATATAATTAAGATAACAACAAAATTTACAAACATCTCTTCATACCTTTCTACAAAGTCCTACTGTTGTAAACGTATTAGGGTTATAATGTCGCTTGTCTGATCTGACAAAGAACCCATTAAACACAAAAAAGCATCTGTTTTGACATAAAACATTCATTTTGGTTGTAAGAAAGAAAACATTGGTAAAAAATGTTAACGGTCATTCTTAACAGACAATTGGTGGGCTTCGGTTCAGCCCATTAATCGGCCAGAGCTAATGAGTTAAGGCTTTAACTCTTTTTTTTCTATCTAATAGATAAATCTAGCGTCTAGGTCAGGTTTTAAGTCTTATTTATTGAAAGCATAAAAAGAGCATCACTAACCGACCTGTCACTTTAAACCACGGGTCTCCAAACTTTTCAGTTCGAGGGCCGTATTAACTATCAAATTTTAGTTCGGGGCCAGTTTCTTCCAGGCATGTCTTTGATTTTTCTGGGCAAAGTTCCTCAGCCATCACCAACAAACAATTTTTCCTTGAACAAAAAGATCTCCGCGGGCCGTAGTTTGGAGACCCCTGCTTTAAACAAATAACCTAACATTCACAACAAGTTAACTCCAACCTAATGCGAACCTTCTCAGACCCCCCCCCCCCCCCATTTTTTAAAAATCCACCATTGTCTGTTCGATGATCGCCAGGATATGAGAGGCAACTAAGAAATCGATTGCAATGTACAACACTACAACTGACGCACAGTTCTCTGATTCTCAAGATGTTTACTCAAGAATATTGCATTCTTTTCAATGACGACCCGTTTTACAAGATTTTTTAGAAGTAATCGGTCCATCTGCAGTCTTTGTTAGTGGCGTCCGTTTATCTACAGTCTTTGTTAGTGACGTCCGTTTATATACAGTCTTTGTTAGTGACGTCCGTTTATCTACGGTCTTTGTTAGTGACGTCCGTTTATCTACAGTCTTTGTTAGTGACGTCCGTTTACCTAGTCTTTGTTAGTTACGTCCATTTATCTACAGTCTTTGTTAGTGACGTCCGTTTATATAAAGTCTTTGTTAGTGACGTCCGTTTATATAAAGTCTTTGTTAGTGACGTCCTTTTATCTACAGTCTTTGTTAGTGACGTCCGTTTATCTACATTCTTTGTTAGTGACGTCCTGTCTTTGATAGTGACGTCCGTTTATCTACAGTCTTTGTTAGTGACGTCCGTTTATCTACAGTCTTTGTTAGTGACGTCCGTTTATCTACAGTCTTTTTTAGTGATGTCCGTTTATCTATAGTTTCAGTGGCGTCAAGTCTATGGATAGTCCTTGTCAATTGCGTCACGTTTGTCTACATTCTGTCAATGGTGTCACGTTTGTGTACATTCTGTCAATGGTGTCATGTTTGTCTACATTCTGTCAATGGTGTCATGTTTGTCTACAGCCTGTCAATGGTGTCACGTTTGTCTACAGTCTGCCAATTTCGTCGCTTCTAATTGTCTTGCTTGTTTAATCTCGTGTATTTGTTGAGAAATATATAACAGAACACCACGAATCACAGAACACTGGAAACATTGTAATGAAAGCAAGCTCAAATCACATCCAAACACATGACATGTCGGCTTAATATCGACATAATCTTTAGGATAAAGTGTTCAATGCTACAGCTCTACTGACCAGTTGTCGTATCCTGGATAGAGAACATAAGGTCACGGCAAGCGACGTTTTCTCTATCCTCAGCAGAACCTTTAGGTCAATGACCTAACATTGACACACCTGACCTGACCAGTTACTTTAACTGAGGCATGTTGTCTGTAGCATTCAATACTAACTTATATAATCTTAACACTAAAATATACCTATACATTAATTATTAGGGTGTCCACTACTAACGAATAGTAATCTTTTCTTTTAGAACAACGTAAAACAGATCCGGTTTTTGAAAATTAAAATTAACCGGGAGTGATTTCCCCTAAACTTTCTCGAATATTCTTATATAACACTACGGAATATGACACATCTCGATAAATACATAATTTTAAATCTATTTTTAATTACTTAAAGTTTTTAAAATAGAATAAAATCTCGTAGAAAAACGAAATGCACACCAAGTAAACGAAAAACAGTAAGTGTAAAATAGTTCGGAATATTATGAGTACTTTATAAATTAATATGCGTTTTTTTGAGAAATCGGAAATAGCAAAAATTACCACTTTCGGTAAACGGAAATTAATCAAAATTTGATAGAAGGCAAACAATAAGATCATTTACTTACATGTGAAATTTCGTTAATCTAACTGAAACAGTACTCAAAGTTTTAGGCTTTTCAAAAATTGAAAGTAGAATAAATTCCACTTCCGTTTATTGGAAATCGCCGAACGATGTATACAGAACTACAAATTTGATATAATACTTATATATGAAATTTATTCAACCTAGCTGTAATGGCACTCAAGTTATCGTGTTTACAAACAGACATACACATATAGACATACGGACATAATTGCAAAGTACAGTTTTTCCGGCTGGAAAACGCACAATTTTGATAAATCGGGATTTATAATTTTTTCCCCGAATAAAATAAGTCCTCTATAATCCGGATTAAATCATAGACTAAGGTGTAAAGCAGTGAAAACTTTCAAAATTTCATGTGAATTTCGAGCTCGTTTACAATACTTTCTCTGTACTATGTCTAGAAAGTAAAAATAAACTCTATAAACGATAGAAACGTTTTTGTAAAATAAAACAAGTTTTTTTAACAGTATTTTAACCATATTTAAACAATTCTGAAAAATTACATTATAACCCCCTTCCCCTACTGATATTTTCTGCGCATAAAAACGTCTCCAGTATCAGGCACGATACAAAGCTTTCCTTTTAGTTATCAATGCCTATACGTCCGACGTACATCTTTGGCCAGCTTTGTTTTGTCCGCCTTAACTTTAGGTACTTCTTCGGCCAGCTTTGATTTGTCTGCTTTAACGTTAAGTAAATCTTTGGCCGGCTTTGATTTGTCTGACTTAACTTTAGATACATCTTCGGCCGGCTTTGATTTGTCTGCCTTAACTTTAGGCACATCTTTGGTCAGCTTTGATTCGCTTGCCTTAGCTTTGGGTACATCTTTGCTAGCTTTGATTTGCCTGCCTTTACTTTAAGTACATCTTCGGCCGGCTTTGATTTGTCTGCCTTAACTTTAGGTACATCTTTGGCCGGCTTTGGTTTGTCTGCTTTAACTTTAGGTACATCTTTGGCTATCTTTGATTTGTCTGCCTTTACTTTAATTAAAAATTTGGCCAGCTTTGATTTGTCTGCCATAACTTTAGGTACATCTTTGGCCGGCTTTGATTTGTCTGCCTTAACTTTAGGTACATCTTTATCCGGCTTTGGTTTGTCTGCCTTAACTTTAGGAAAAACATTGGCTTGCTTTGATTTGTCTGCGTTAACTTTAGGTACATCTTCGGCCGGCTTTGGTTTGTCTGCGTTAACTTTAGGTACATCTTCGGCCGGCTTTGGTTTGTGTGCCTTAACTTTAGGTACATCTTTGGACAGCTTTGATTCGCTTGCCTTCATTTTAAGTAAATATTGGGCCAGCTTTGATTCGTCTGCCTTAACATTAGGTACATCTTTGGCCGTTTTTGATTTGTCTGCCTTAACCTTAGGTACATCTTTGGACAGCTTTGATTCGCTTGCGTTAACTTTAGGTACATCTTCAGCCATCTTTGATTTGTCTGCCTTAACTTTAGGTACATCTTTGACCAACTTTGATTTGTCTGCCTTAACTTTAGTTACATCTTCGGCCAGCTTTGATTTGTCTGCCTTAACTTTAGGTACATCTTTGGCCAGTTTTGATTTGTCTGCCTTAACGTTGGTTACATCTTCGGCCATCTTTGATTTGTCTGCCTTAAGTTTAGGTACATCTTGAACCGGCTTTGATTCGCTTGCCTTCATTTTAAGTAAATATTTGGCCAGCTTTGATTTGTCTGCCTTAACTTTAGGTACATCTTCTGCCATCTTTGATTTGTCTGCCTTAACTTTAGGTACATCTTTGGCCGGCTTTGATTTGTCTGCCTTAACGTTAGGTACACCTTTGGACAGCTTTGATTCGCTTGCCCTTAATTTAGGTACATCTTCGGCAAGCTTTGATTTGTCTGCCTTCACTTTAGGTATATCTTCGACCAGCTTAGATTCGTCTGCCTTTACTTTAGGTACATCTTTGGCCAACTTAGATTCGTCTGCCTTAACTTTAGGTACATTTTTGACCAGCATTGATTTGTCTGCCTTAACGTTAGGTACATCTTTGGACAGCTTTGATTCGCTTGCCCTTAATTTAGGTACATCTTCGGCAAGCTTTGATTTGTCTGCCTTCACTTTAGTTACATCTTCGGCCAGCTTTGATTCGCTTGCCTTCACTTTAGGTACATCTTCGGCCAGCTTAGATTCGTCTGCCTTTACTTTAGGTACATTTTTGGCCAACTTAGATTCGTCTGCCTTAACTTTAGGTACATTTTTGACCAGCATTGATTTGTCTGCCTTAACGTTAGGTACATCTTTTGACAGCTTTGATTCGCTTGCCCTTTATTTAGGTACATCTTCGGCAAGCTTTGATTTGTCTTCCATCTTTGGTCAACTTAGATTCGTCTGCCTTAAATGTAGGTACATTTTTGACCAGCATTGATTTGAAACTAAGTGTAGCTTCCGGTTCAAGTCTCTGTTCAACATGCTCCTGTTGGTCATCACGTTTGGCCACATTCAAAAGTTGGCTCAGCTTGTTCTCAATGGCTTGTGTGACGAGGATGCCTGGAATAAGACAGGTTGAAAACATTTACAGGACAGACTATGGAACATTTGTGATACTGTTATAGTACCGTTACGGAAATGTTAGTGCACTTTTAGGGTACTTTTTATGGTGCTGTTGTGGAACTGTTAGGCAATGGTATAGTGTTGTTATAGTACTGTCATGGTACTGTTATGGTACTGCTATTGTACTATTATAGTACTACTACGGTACCGTCATAATATGGTTGTAACTGTTTTGTTGTGATAATGTGGTGGTACTATTTAAGCTTTTTAATGTCTGTCAGGGTCTTGTCCAAGTTATAATATTCGTAGTCCTTCCCTTAAAATTCAAGCCCCAATGCTACCCATATACCTAACTCTGGCTCTAATTTTTAAGTCTAAGCCAAATGTTATACTATGCCAATCACAGCTATACCCAGAATGTATTCTGGCAACACTACAACCCAATAAACCAACATAACATCCTGTATCATGACGATAAAGATGTCTTAAACTGAAATCAAGACACCAACGGGATCTAAAAAAAAGACAAATTCGACTGTGACACACCTGATTGATAAAGAGTAGTAATGTGAATCGTGTGATGTATGAAAAAAAGAGGTGTGATATGAGTCAGGTGATGTATGAAAAAGAGGCGTGATAGTGATGTATGAGATAGGGTTGTGATGTGTGTTGTGTGAGACATGATCGAGGAATATGTTTTAATTGTCCCTTGTTTCAGCTACTTACCTTACCCAATATTGTTCCTGTGATTGTTGTACTTCTACCATTTATTGTAGTTCTACTACAATTGATTTTAGTTATACTAACAGTGATTTTATTTCTACTATCAGTGATTGTAGTTCTATGTTCTAGGTAACTGTAATTGTTATTCTATGTACCTGTGATCGTTGTTCTATATACCTGTTATTGTTGACATACTACCTTTAATTGTAGTTACTCTACACGTAATTGTATGTTTACTAGTTCTACTTCCTGTGTGTTACTTGGTTTAGTCCACCCCAACCCAACTACTGAACGATGACAAAGAACACACTTCAAAGGAAAAACTTGTGGTAAGCGTCTATACACATGTTTAACAAGGGAGGGCATGTGACCATTTCAACTTACGGGTGGCGAGTGGGCAATTGATTATATCATACATTTTATATATAACTTATATTTTTTTTACCATTTTGTTCCTAGGGATGGTAGATGTGCTCAAGGGGTGGTCCCGTCCCCCCCCCCCCACGGAGAGATGCCAGATAAAAACAGAGGGCACAAAGGAAAAGACCAGACATAAGCAAGTTCTACAACATCACTGATGAGAGTATAAAGCAAGAGTTACTATAGCAACCATTGATAGAAGAAAACTGACTTACAGCAGACAAGAAGCAGTGCTGTGTGGATGAGCTTCATGGTTGGATTCCTGACTTACACAGACGTTGAAGGATGCAAGTGATGGATTCCCGACCTATCCAAACATAAAATTCCTGACGTTATCGATATTGTGATCTCGATATAGACATGATTATTAATCCATTTTTAATTACTTAAAATTTTTAAAATAGAATAAAATCTGAAAACAAAGAATTGCACACCATGTGAACGCCAAACAATATTTGTATAGTAACGCGGAATATTATTAGTACTTTATAAATTCACATTTTTTTTTTTTTTTAAAGTTGGAAATAGAGAAATTTACAACTTCTGTTCAAAGAAAATTACTCAAAATTTGACAGAAGAATTAGATATTTTACTTATATGTGAAATTTTATTACAAAAGTGATTTAATACTTATGTATGAAAATTCATCCACCTAACTGCAACGGTACTCAAGTTATATTATGTTTACAGACACACATATACACTCACACAGGCATACGAACAGAATTGCATAGTCCAGTTTTTCCGACTAGATTACGCAAAAAACGCCAAAATTTAGAAAAATCTGGATTTATAATTTTTGCCCGATTAAATGAAGTTCTCTATACTCCGCATGAGATGAAGGGCTGATGTGAAAAAGGTGTAAACTCTCAAAATTTCATGTGATTTTTTGTGCACGATTACAATACTTTCTCTATAATCTGAATACGAGAAAGTGAAAATATAGAACTCATCTTGTGGTTTTTTTACAGCTGAGAGGTGGAACTACCTCACGTATTGCACATCTATATTGCTTATATTTCAGTTTCAAAAGAGAGGTTGAACTACCTCACATATTGCACATCTATATTGCTTATATTTCAGTTTCAAAAGAGAGGTGGAATTACCTCACATATTGCACATCTATATTGCTTATATTTCAGTTTCAAAAGAGAGGTGGAACTACCTCACATATTGCACATCCATATTGCTTATATTTCAGTTTCTAAAGAGAGGTGGAATTACCTCACATATTGCACATCTATATTGCTTATATTTCAGTTTCAAAAGAGAGGTGGAACTACCTCACATATTGCACATCTATATTGCTTATATTTCAGTTTCAAAAGAGAGGTGGAACTACCTCACATATTGCACATCTATATTGCTTATATTTCAGTTTCAAAAGAGAGGTGGAACTACCTCACATATTGCACATCTATATTGCTTATATTTCAGTTTCAAAAGAGAGGTGGAATTACCTCACATATTGCACATCTATATTGCTTGTATTTCAGTTTCAAAAGAGAGGTGGAACTACCTCACATATTGCACATCTATATTGCTTATATTTCAGTTTCAAAAAAGAGGTGGAACTACCTCACTGATCGTTTATATAAATGGCCTATATCTCAGTCTAATATAAGTAAAAACATAGATGCCCCTTTCTCAAATAAAGCTATGACAAAAATCTAAATCTAACATCTAGATGTCCCTTTCCTGTGATTGTTGTTCTATGTTTATGGGATTCTACTACCTGTGATTGTTGTTTTATGTACCGCGGATTGTATTTCTTCTACCTGTGATTGTAGTTCTACTACCTGTAATTGTAGATCTATGTACCATTGATTGTGGTTCTATGTACCAGTGATTGTAGCTCTATGTACTAGGTATTGTAACTTTGTGTACCCAAACGAGCTTAGTCTCAAATGTATTAGTTGGGCCAATTAAATATTTGAAAAATCATGCATCGTGTAATTGAAATTGATAATTAATATGGTTATAAAATCCTGATTGTTTAGTATTGTTTCGGACTTTAACAAAAAACAAAACAATAATAATTTTCTAATTTATTTTTACTTTCTCACTTATACGAAGTAGGGCCTACATCGTGCAAAAAAAAAAAATTCGAGATTTTTGCAAATCTCGACGTTTTACACCTCTCTAAGTCGGAAAAACATAAATTTGCAATCTTGTACGTATGGATTTGTGTGTGTGTGTGTGTGTGTAAACACGATAAAATGAGTACCGTTACAGCTAGGTTGATGAAATTTCATATATAAGTACTATATCAAAATCGTAGATCCGTATCAACTTTTAAGCGATTTCCGATAACCGAAAGTAGAGCTTTTTCTTCTTTGAATTTATCAAAAGCCTATAACTTGAGTAGTATTCCAGATAGATAAATGAAATTTTTCGTGTAAGTAAAAGATCTAATATTCTGCCGTCTTTCAAATTTTGAGTAATTTCCGTTGACCGGAAGTAGTAATTTTTCCTCTTTCGGATTTCTCAAAAAATCACAAGAACTTGATTACCCTTACAGCTAGGTTGAAGAAATTTCATAAATAATTATTATATCAAAATCGTAGATCCGTATCAACTTTTGAGTGATTTCCGATAAACGGAAGGGGAACTTTTTCTACTTTGAATTTTTCAAAAGCCTATACCTTGAGTACTATTTCAGATAGATAAATGAAATTTCACATGTAAGTAAAAGATCTAATTCTCTGCCATCTATCAAATTTTGAGTAAAATTCCGTCAACCGGCAGTAGTAATTTAAGCTTTTCCCGATTTCTAAAATAAACCGGGAGTGATCTCCCCAAAACTTTCTCGAATATTCTTATATAAAATAACAGGGGATGGGAACTCGGGCTATAGACATGATTTTTAATCCATTTTAAATACTTAAAGTTTTAAAAATAGAATAAAATCTCGTAGAAAAAACAATTGCACACCAAGTGAACTAGTGAACGCCAAATAAAAAAGTGCACAATAGCGCGCAATATTATTAGTACTTTAAAAATTTACATTAGTTTTTTGAGAAATCGGAAGTAGCGTAAATTACTACTTCCGGTCAACGGAAATTATTCAAAATTTAACAGAAGGTAGAGAATTAGATCTTTTACTTACATGCGAAATTTCATTTATCTATCTGAAATAGTACTCAAGTTATAGGCTTTTGAAAAATTCAAAGTAGAAAAAGTACCACTTCCGGTTATCGGAAATCGCTCAAAAGTTTATACGGATCTACGATTTTGATAAAATACTTATATATTAAATTTCATCAACCTAGCTGTAACGGTACTCAAGTAATCGTGTTTACACACGGACACACACACACACACAGACACACAGACATACGGACAGAATTGCAAAGCCCAGTTTTTCAGACTGGATTACGCATAAAACTTCTTAATTTTGATAAATCTGGATTGATAATTTTTGCCCGATTAAAATAAGTCCTCTATACTTCGGATGTGATGAAGGACTGAGGTGTAATACGGTGAAAATTGTTAAAATTTCAAGTGATTTTTGTGCACGATTACAATACTTTCTCTATCCTAATTTATAAAAGGCCATGTGCGCTCTTCTCTCTCTCTCTCTCTCTGTCTGTCCGCAAAATATTTTCGCCGGACATCACGTCAGAATCGGCAGCGATATATGGATACCTTTATACGGACTTTTGTTGAAAATAATATGTTAGATGTTTTAAATGTATAACCACAAAATTATTTAAAGAAGAAAAATAAAAAATAAAGGCGTATTCGAATGTAGAGAAACAGTATTATTTATGCAACCGGAAAAGCATTAATATATGTGAAAAAGAACGCATAAAACTGTGACGTCACTATTGCTTATACATTAACTAATGACGTCATCTGCCGTGTTTAGAATGAAAAGATATGAACTATTTTATTCAAATTTGATTTAGATCTACGTACACTATGAAATGTATACAATACAATTTTTCCGGCCTAAACTCATAAAATTTATTTTATGTATTTGGATTCTAGATCTAGAGATTCTAGATCTAGACTAAATCTAAATCTAAATCTACGCAATAACTAGATCTAGACGTAGACGCTAAGATCTAGATTTAGACTCTAACTTCTCTAAAATCAATTCCAAAAATAAATTTCTATATTAGGACTAAACTATTTCAAGACTTATTTATTTTATACAAAATCTTTGTTTGGAACTGGCTAATTTGGGATAAAAAATTAATTTGAAAGAATAGGCATATTCACGTAAGTTAAGATTTTAAAATATGTGTTTCATTCACCGTATTTTATAAGGTGCCTAAATAGCGGAGATGTTAGTGTACATTAAACCACGCAGGTGGTGCGGGTTCGAGACACAGCAAGTCAACTTGGTTGATGTATTCTTTTTTATTATGCTCGGGCTAAACTTAAAAAAAAAATTCTTTGTCGGGTGTCCGATAGGGCACTTCCCGGCGCCGCAAGCGCTTCAAATTTGGCATGATCTTGCTTTGGTGCGACAGAACACGGGGGCCGGTTGGCCGAAAAGTCTACGATGTGGGGGTCAAAACTGACCTCGACTGACCGGTACCTTATATGAGCTATAAATCGAAAAAAATGTCCACGGAGGAACCTCTTCATAACTCTTGAGGTCGTAGACCGACCTTCGGGCGAATTAATTAAGCATTCAAATTCTCAATGTTTTCGAAAGCCTAGGCGAAGCTGGGCAGCATGCCTAGTACTTCGTATATACGAGAAAGTAAAAAAAGCAAGTGAATTTACAAAGTACTAATTATATCCCGCACTATTATGCACATTTTATTTGGCGTGCGATTCTTTGTTTCGACGAGATTCTATTCTATTATAAAAAGTTTAAGTTATTAATAATGGATTAAAATGGATTAAAAATATTGTCCATGCCCCGAGTTGCCATCCCCCGTAGTGTTATATTAGAGTATTAGAATATTCGAGAAGGTTTAGGGGAGATCACTCCCTGTTGATTTTTAATTATTTTTACGCGCTAAGAAGTAAAAAAAAAATAAAGAAATAAGAAATAACGAATTTTATCCGTGTCACTATATATATATATATATATATATATATATATATATATATATATATATATATATATATATATATATATATATATATATATATATATATATATATATATCCTAATTTATAAAAGGCCATGTGCGCTCTTCTCTCTCTCTCTCTCTCTCTGTCTGTCCGCAAAATATTTTCGCCGGACATCACGTCAGAATCGGCAGCGATATATGGATACCTTTATACGGACTTTTGTTGAAAATAATATGTTAGATGTTTTAAATGTATAACCACAAAATTATT